ATTGGTTTTTTAAGTATATTTCAAGGAAATATATAAATATCTTTTTTGCTATATTTTCGAAAAACATTTTCAATATGAAGATTTTGAAAATAAGAGATTGTATGTGATACAAAATATTTATTCGATTGATTTTTTAAAGATTTTTTTTATTTAAACATTTTAATTATTTATTTAAGACTTTGTCATTTTTAAAATTTTTAAAGATAATATCAATTTTGTTGAATATTTCTCCATATTTTATTCTATTGTAAAATATATAACATATTTATTTTTCTTTTATTTTTCCTAAAACATCGATATAAAACAAAAAAATATATATGATGATTTTTGTAACGCAAAATAAATATATATCATATCATAAGAGTTATACAAAATACAAATAACATAAACACTTGAATAAAATCATTAAACCAAATAAAAAATACTATAGATTAGATTTTATTAAATATTAAATTATTGTTTAAAAATATCTAAAAATGTTAAATATGTTATATACATGGAGATTTTCGAATTTAATTTTCCACTTTTTTGACAACAAAATTAGTATGATCCATAAATATAGGTAGTTTCTGTTTTTTATTATTTATTTATTTATTAAAACATTTTTGCTGTCATTAGTTTTGTTTGGCAACTGAAATATATTTCATGAATTTTTTTTTAAAAAAATTGGGTCTGTTTGTCCTTCCCAATTAATAGTATAGATTATTACATAAACATATGTATAATAAAAATATAATTTTATACAAAAAATGGATGTACGAAGTATTATTGATAATTGTATAGCACGGGTCATGTGATGTAACAAATTATAAATTACATATATGTTTTTACGGGTTGTCTATTATAGCCAAGCTCACAAAATATTTTAATTTAAAATTAGACTATTTAAACGATATTTAAACGAAAGATGTTATGCCAACATCATTTCATTATTTTGAATATTAGACTTATTTAGTTAAGTTGATCAAATTACGATTATATACAAACAAATTATCATTTCATATTTTACGGGTTAAATTATAGAATTAACAATCAAAATACAGTATATAACAAAACCAAAAAAAATAATTCATTTTAAAATATCCTCCCGCGGTGTACCGCGGGTTAAATTCTAGTTAAATACATTTTCTTCAACAATTTAATTTGTTGTTAGCAAAAATAAATAAAAAAATAAAGTTCGTAAATAGCCGTAAAGTCTAAAGTCAAAAACATTTCTCACTACACTTTTTGTTGCATTAAGCCCAAATGTATTTTCCTTTACACCTACATTTGGTTCGCAATATCGTTTCAGGAATAGCTACAATGCTCCATCGTTCCTTTGAACAAACTTATTCATATTTTCCCTCGTCCGACTGCATACCCAACCTCATTAAAGTCTCTTTCGCCAACAACCTCACAATTAATCATCCCCACTCACAGCTTCTCGATCTTATTCAATATCGTCTAACATTTCTCGTTTATGATTATTCCGTTGTTTTTATGTTGAGGAATAGCCTCCGCCTTTGGTTCCACCTCAGTCTCCGATGGATATCGAATCCCCTCCGTCTATGGTTCTGGTGGGATTGCCACCGCCTCAGTCCCCAGTGTTTGGTTCAGGTGGGATTGCAATCGCATCAAACCGTCTTAGTTTCTGGTTATGGTTGGACTCGATCATCCTTAGGTTCAAAACATGATATTTCGGCTTTTTTGTCTGCCGTATCCATTAGTCGCGACGACCAATGAGTTAAAAACTTCTTTCTTCCTCCACGGGTCTTGGTCATTGCGAGTTTTCTACCAAATCTAGAGATAATTTATTGTTTAGAAAAATACACTAATTTAAAGTGTTGAGGCCCATGGGCCTATTTACTTTTTAATATACAACTATCACTACACGGTGTCGTTTTGATAGAGGATAACTACTTTTTAGGTTTATTCTCACTCGTATATATAAGTTTCAGGAGCTCTTGATAAGATCATTCTGCCGCCGCAGCTCTTAAAAAAAGTAAACACAAAAATTTGATTAGCTAACATGAGAATATGTGAGCTAGGAATGACATTAGATAGAAGATTTAGATGGTAACATCTATCTAAAGGTATGTGCTCATAGAAACAAATTACAATTTCTGGTTTTTCTTTTCAAATGTTCACATCATTTTGACTTGTTGATATTTTCATTGAATTTTCTCCAAGTGATTCTTATTTTTTCTCAAGTTATATTCATGTTTTCTATTCAATAACTTGTTATATGTTCCTGATTAGATCTATGAGGATTTTTTTAGTCAAGAACTGGATGCATCAGATAGAAGATTTGGATGGTAACATTTATCAAAAGGTATGTGAACAAGAAACCAATTAGGATTTTTTTTTAATTGTTCCCATCTTTTTATTTTGTTGATATTATCATTGAATTTCCTCCTAATGATTCGGTTTCTTCTCATGTTATATTTTTTGTTTTTTGTTTTCCATATTAATTTCTCAAGTTCTTATATGTTTGTGATTAGATCTGAGTATTTCTTTAGCTTGTTGCAATTGTACACATAATTTTATTTTGTAGATGTTACCAATGACTTTTCCTGCAATATATTAACTATGTTTTTTAATTATTAATGTTTTTAGCTTGTTTGAAAGATTTATCCGAAAAAATATCTTATTAGTTATATACAATTACAAACTACACGAAAGTTTGATGTTTGGGATTAGATCTGTGAGTATTATATTAGCTTGTTTCAATTGTTCACATAAATTTATTTTGTTGATGTTACCATTGAATTTTCTTCCAATTAACTACGTTTTTTTATTAATAATTTTCTTAGCTTGTTAGATGCTTGATATTAATTACTACTTACATATAGGTAAAAAGAATAATAAGGTAACTATGGCAAACCATTTTGGGATAGAATATTTGATGTAACTGAAAAAATAAAAAGTTTGCCGAATTTGGATTTGGTTTATGAAATCATTAATATGTACATATTTGTGTCTCATTTTTGAGATCATCTACTTTAAAAGTAGTGTAAATATCATAACATTATATATATACTTGTATATATATATATATATATAACAAGTTTGGCTATTAAATATTGGGAGATTTGCAAAAATAACTTTTGTAGGTTTCCCTTTTGTAAAAATACATTTCTTTGGTGTCTATTTTTAAAAATGCTCTCTTGAAAGTACAAAATAGCTAAATTACCCTCTTTTAGTGAAATCCATGATGAAGAATTGAATATTCATTCCAACAAAAATAATATTTCTTCCGAAAAATTCTTGCAAAATGTTATTGGAAATGCCTTAAAAACCTTGTAAATATTTGTAAAACCTTATAAAATCCTTTAAAATTCATTGTAAGTCCTTTAAAAATCATCAAAAACCTTTAAAAACTCTAGTAAACCTTTGTAAATCCTTTTATAACCCTTTATAAACTTTATAACCGTGATAAATCCTCTTATTACTTTTATAACAGTTGTAAATCTCTTAAAAAATATTGTAAAATTCTTTTAAAAATCCCTATACATCTTTAACAACCATTTGAAAACCTTTTAAAAACCCTTATAAACATCTAAAACCATTTAATAACCCTTGTAAAACACTTGAAAGAGCATTTAAAATCCCTTGTAAGTATTTTCAGAACCATTTAAAAATCCTTTTAAATTTTTAAAAACCCTTTAAAAATCTTCTAAAAATCCTTGTAAACCTTTTTAAATCCCTTAAAATCTTTTAAACCTCTTTAAAATCCATTGTAAATCCTTTAACAAAGTTTTAAACTTCTAAAACTATTTAAAGACCCATGTAAATCTTTTTTAAACTATTTAAAGACCTTTGTAAATCTTTTTAAAACCATTTAAAAATTCTTATAAATCCTATTAAAAAGAAATTTTAAATTCTTTGTAAATATTTTAATTTCAAAAACTAGGCTCCTGTAAAATGGCCATTTGAAATTGATGCTCCCAAGCTTAAGGATCTCAAGATCCGCCATCATTTAACTATAAGTCATAATAAAGAAAATGAGTTTCCTTGTAAAGGTGTATATGAACTAGACTAATTTTAATTTTAATTTTAGAGAGAAATTTGATCCAAAAGATCTACCAAAGAGAAATATGTTTTTGTAATTTTCTTGACACGATCTATAGTTTCATATATATGGTCATTTATTCATGTATTCTAGAGGTAAACTATGTTGGTGATTCACAATTTAATGTTGAACTTTGTCTTGTAAGTTTTTCCTAAAACTTTTATTTTTGGTGTTTGTTGTAGGTCATTTATGATTACTCAAAATGTGAAATATCCTTATAACATATTTCATAACTTATCTTTTTTGGTCGTTGACTTCTACCACCACATATGGATACTATTGCCAATCATTCTTGACAAGTGACTGAATCTATGTTTTCTTAAGCCTAGTAGGATTGACTAAAAACATATGTACTTTATTTGGTAAAAACGAAAAATGGGGAAAGTATCTTAGTTAGGAAAAGGGGAAAGTATTATATTTGGAAAAGTTTTGCTAAATAAAGTATATAAGTTTTTAGTCAATCCTTACCATACTTAAGAGATATAGATTCAGACACTTCTCAAGAAATATTAGCAATATTTTCCATGTGTGGTCGTAAACAGTCAAGGAAGATAGGTTACGAAATAAGGGTAATGGTTCACATTTTAAGTAATCATAAATGACTTGCAATAACCACCAAAATAAAAAAAAAACTTAAGGAATAATTTATAGATTAGTTAAACATTAAGTAGCGAATTTACAATGGATGTTACCTCTAGAGTATTTGGAGACATGATCACATATTTGACACAAGAGATCACATCAAGAAAATGGACAATCATATTTCTCTTTGGTAAATTATTTGGATCAACCTTCTTTTCGAATCAAAAGTTAAACTCAATGTTAATAAACCTCTACATTTGAACTCATGAAACTTGCAGTTAAACGGTGGCAGAGCCTAAGATCCTTATGCATAGGAGTATCTATTGAAACCACTAGATCATTCTATACATGATCCTTGTTAGAGGAACGTAATAGGAATGTTTTATACAAAAGGCTCCAATATATTATTTGGATTTAAATATACAATGGTAGATTTAGACTCTTCGTAGTGAGAACTTCGGTGTAATATATTATTTGTTAGTATTTTATAAACTTGACGATAAAGAAAACATATTATATTGATCTTATGTGCTTACATCATAATTTCAGAGTTTCCTATGTGTTCACCCTTAATTCTACCTACTCGAACAAATTATTATGCCACACATTTTTAGTCAAATTAAGAAATAAATGAAGGTTGACTAGGAAATGTAGTTTTGGAATGTGTGCTAATGTTGTTGGCAAAAAAAAAAAAAAATCAAAGATAAGATAGATATGTTATGAAACAAAACGAACTAGAAGAAGCAACATGTACGTGTATATAAAAGATCATTGTATTTCGTTTCATGTTTTTTGTTGTTGTTTTCGTAACATCATGCCCTAGAAAAATGGGAATTCAGCAATGGAGAAGAGTATGCATATTGGTATTAAGGGTGATAAAATTAAATGCTTAAAAAGTATGAAAACAGTTTTATGTTTTAACGTTAAGGTTTATGAAAATGAAAATGATAGTTTTATAAAACACAACAAAAAAAAAGAACGTTGAGGTTTTGAATTTTAAAATTTAAATTTATGGGCCTTATTGGGCCTATATTTTACCGTTATGAACAAAATAAAAAACGGTAATCACCTTTGCGTTTTGTTTATATTTCCAGAAACATTCAAACACAGAACATTTTAGGACCGTACGATTTTAATATATCTGACGAAATCAACGGTCATCTTGGGTTTAATTATATCCGTTACAGAACCCATCAACAATAATATATATCTCCACATAAACATTTTCTTTTATTTCAATCCAACACTTTTTTTTTCTCTTTCTTCAATTTTCTTTTTCTCTCGCTGAAGAGAAGTCTTCTGACGAATCGTGAGAAAATTTGGATTCAAACTAATCTTGAGGTTAGTGTTTGTATTTCAATCTCTCTGTATCGCTAATTTGTTTTTAGGATTCATAAGTTTTATTCCAATCGTTCTTGTTGTATTGAATCTAGGGTTTTGTGATTTTTGTTTGATTTGGGCATGAAACTAGTACAATCGCTGGACTTCTTCTGCTTCTTCGTGTTGATCTAGGGCTGTTTGGTTTGATTCGGTTCAATCGGTTGGGTTTTTTTTTTTCTTCTTTTTCTGATCTCTTCGTGATTTTGTTTAGGGTTTCGATATTTAACTAATCAATTGCTGTATTTTAACTTTTGTTTTAGGGATTATGTTTTGGAATCTAAACATGGAACCTTGTCTCCGCTTCGTCGAGGTATTTTTTTTCTATCTCTCCGGTTTGGTTTTTGTTTTCGGTTTTGTGGTTTTCAAATTTTGAGGATTTAAAATCGAACCAGTCGAACTGATTAGGTCTACGATTTGATATCTGTAAATTGAATTTTGTTGTATTGTGATTCTGGATTCAAAGGTTTTGTTTTTGGTTTTTGTTTTCTTGATCCAGTAACAAAAAAAGTCCTCTCTTTCATAAGAATTCAAAGCGCTTTTGTTTTTGTTTACTTTGTTTTGCGGATTCTTATGTTATGGGGGTTTTAGTTTTTCATGTTTTTCATGTTTTTGTTTTTGTTTTGTTTTCTCAAAACCCAAAACAGATCATGGGCAGACACTAATCTGATAGTGTTCTGTCAGATTCTATTTTGGGGACATTGTCCCGAGCGAAATTGTGAACTATGGGCTTGGTAGTGCATGCATTGTTGCGAGTTGGAAAAGGGGTTTTGGATTTGTTGGATGGGAATGAACCTACGGGTTAATAAGTCTTATGACAAAGACATGATAGAACCAAAGAGTTCTCACATATTGGTACCCTCGGCTTGGAAAAGTAAAAGAAAAAGCGACAGCTTAAATGAGACATAAGTGGCTGAGAATGAAAAGAACAGAGACCCTTGATGATTGGCTTGGTAGTGCATGCATTGTTGCGGGCTGTTGGCTGGGAATGAACCTACGGGTTAGTAACATAGAAGAACCTAAGAGTTCTCACTGTTTGGTACCCTCGGCTTGGAAAAGTAAAAGAAAAAGCGACAGCTTATTGAGACATAAGTGGCTGGGAATGAAACGAAAAGAGACCCTTGGTGATTGGCTTGGTAGTGCATGCATTGTTGCGGGCTGTTGGCTGGGAATGAACCTACGGGTTAGTAACATAAAAGAATCTAAGAGTTCTCAATGTTTGGTACCCTCGGCTTGGAAAAGTAAAAGAAAAAGCGACAGCTTATTGAGACATATGTGGCTGGGAATGAAACGAAAAGAGACCCTTGGTGATTGGCTTGGTAGTGCATGCAGTGTTGCGGGCTGTTGGCTGGGAATGAAAAGAAAAGAGATCCTTGACGATTGGCTATGGCTGGGAATTAAAAGAAATGAGGTGCTTGATGATTGGCTTGGTAGTGCATGCATTGTTGCGAGTTGTTGGCTGGAATGACCCTACGGTTTAGTAACATAAAAGAACCTAAGAGTGTCAAAAGACTATGGATGGGAATGAAAAGAAATGAGGTGCTTGATGATTGGCTTGGTAGTGCATGCATTGTTGCGAGCTTATGGCTGGAATGACCCTACGGTTTAGTAACATAAAAGAACCTAAGAGTGTCAAAAGACTATGGATGGGAATGAAAAGAAATGAGGTGCTTGATGATTGGCTTGGTAGTGCATGCATTGTTGCGAGCTGTTGGCTGGGATGAACCTACGGGTAGTAACATAAAAGAACTTAAGAGGGCCAAAAGACTATGGAGGAGAGCGAAAAGAATAGAGATCCTTGATGATTGGCTTGGTAGTGCATGCATTGTTGCGAGCTGTTGGCTGGGATGAACCTAAGACAAAGAAAAATAGGCAAAAGACTGCTGGATGGTAAAAATGACCAGCAAGGAAAAGAAGCTTTATGAGAAGACAGTGAACTTAAATATTATAAGTCAAACGACTTTGAAAAGTTGTAAGACAATACTTGACAAAAAGAGGTAAGTATAGGGCATTCACTTCATATGAAATACTAACGAATTATGTTTTCCTCAGGTATGTGCTTCTGGAAAAGTGGAGATGTGCAGATATTAAGACTTGAGTAGATTCAAGTGTAGGAAACTTCTTTGACAGGTAGACACTATTCTAACCTTTTTGTTTTTGTTTTTATGTGTTTGCAAAATTGTTTGTATATGACAATCACAATTGAGGTATATGCTTATCTAAACTTCTCAGGTTAATATTCTCACTGATGCAAAGGATCAGGTATATGCTTATCTTCTCGACTTCTCTGTGATGAATTGAATTTTTTACAGATGTACGCACACCTTATATAATTAAAATTGTTTAATTATGTGAGTTGTCTTACTTTCATTACTATCCTCGATTTATCAGTCAAATTCTAGAAACGTATTGCTAAGATACCTTTGATAAAAAATAGTGATTTTGTTTTATATTGTGTGTTTGTATTGGAACATTATATTATATTGTGTGTTTAAATTTTTTAATTCTCTCTGTTTCTCAGTGGATGCATCTTCGAGTCTCTGAAGATATTTTTATATTGACAATAGTTGTGTCTCTAAACCTCTGGTGATTGTGTTAAACATGTGAATTTCATCCTAACAGTTATGCATTCATACACTGAAAAAAGGTAGAGTTTACTTAGGCTATTGGAACATTGCATTGTGTGATTAAAATAATTACTATCTCTGTTTTGGTGTTTGTATGTATAATTTTACGAAGCAGATGCATTTTGGAGTCTTCTATAGATAACTATTTTGAATGTATGTGATAGTCTTACACATTATCGTAAATACTATTTTTGAATCTTGATTGTATTTGTTTTGGGTTATGCTTAAACCCATGGTGATTGATTATTCTAATCTCTAAAGCATGTGAGACGACATTGTGGAATGATGAATTATCAGCTAATGATTATTTGTACCCCTTGGCTTGAGTCTTTACTATACACACTAACAGGATTTATCATAAGGTGTCTTGTTTTATGAAAATTATGATAGTATTTGCCTTGAATCATGAATAGATTTGTTTTGTGTTATGCTTTGAATCCTTGGCGATTGATTTGGTGATTGATTCAAACATGTGAAGTAACTTTTGTCAAATTTTGCATCATAGATTGATGATTAATGTGCTAGATTTTACAACTTGTGCTCGTTGTCTTGATATTCTTTCAAAACAATGATTCAAACTGGTATGTCACTACTACTGCTTATCCTTTGGTCTCTTAGAGTCTATGGAAACCTGATTCTCTATTGAATCATTTTGATGATTTTAGTTAGAATATGCAAATGATCACACTTTTCTATGTTTGATGCCAAACTTAGCTGTAATCTGCCAATCCATTGTTGTTTGTTTGTTTGAAATGAACATTATGAAACATCAATGTTAGTTTTATGTGATCTGTATTGTTTAGCTTTGTGTCGGATTATAAAATTATGCATAGTCAGTCATGACCATGAACACAGTTCTTGGGTTTGAGCTTTGTGTTTGCATCTGTGTAATGTGGCAAACTTCTTACAATCCCTCTCTCTCTACCTTAATTTAGCTTCAATCAGAACACATATGTGTACTCTTTACAATCTCTCTCTCTCTCTCTCTCTCTCTAACTTAATTTATAGCTACAATAAGACTTGCCTTTGACCTTTAGAGGCTTAGTAGATACACCTCAAACGACGCCATGTATTCATGAAACTGCAAAAATCAAAAACAAGGCTCGGTATGTATATATGTCTTGCAAAGAATATGTAAGTAGTACAGGTTAAACTTTGGAGACCTTTTGATTTGTTGCAGGTTTAACGTGTATTCAGGTAATAGACATATTTTCATGTTCTGCAATATACAATACAACTGCGTAACTTAGACCAAATTCACAGGTTTGAAAATAATGGAAACGTAAGAAACATGCGTCACGATCTCTTCATATTTTGCTGCTAACTGTTTCACTTTATAGCTTCTCCTGATTGTCTCACCTGCTTTATATTGTCAGTATTGTCATAAACCTCAAGAATAGCAGCCTTTGCCTTAAAACTTTCCATTGCTGATTGCTCAGCTTTCTTTGTTTCCCCAAGTACTAGTTTCTTCTCTTCTAACGCTCCCCGTCTCCACATCAAGCGTTCAAACCAGTGTATACTCAAATTTTAGGACTAGTGCTAGTAAGAACAAATATCTACTTGCAATTTGTCTGGAGACTGAACAATTTGTGAGCAGAGGTTTGCATTTTCTTGGACAGTTTTGCACAAGATCAAACTCTACAAGATCAAAACTTCACACTTGCATGCTTAAACCAGGTTCACTCAAATACAAGTCCAGCACTGACAATGACCTTTTCCCAAAATTTTGACAAATATGTTAAAAAAAAATGAATTTGTCGATGTTTTACATTCAAACAACTCTCTCTCTGTTTATTTGGTTTTAGATTCAGCCGATTACAAATCTCAAAAAGATGGATTTGTCGATGTCTTGTCATTTGAAAGAACTTTCAGATCTTTCCAATGCCACAAATCTCGAGAGATTGAATTTGGATGATTGCGAGAGTTTGGTAGAGATCCCCTCCTCTTTTTGAAACCTTCACAAACTGAAAGTGTTGCGCATGTTTGCCTGCACGAAGCTAGAAGTCATTCCAAGTCACATGAACTTGGCATCTCTTGAATCGGTTGATATGACAGGATGCTAAAGTTTGAGAAACTTTCCAGAGATTTCTAGGAACATCTCACAGTTCTCTATCTCAGTCAGAGATGTAGAACAAGTGCCTGTATCAATTAAGCTTTGGTCTCGTCTTCGTCTTCTCAACATAATCAGCAACGGAAAGCTAAAGGCATTAACAAATGTTCTTCAAAGTGTTAGGTATCTATACCTAAGTTACACTAATGTTGAGAGGATTCCATATTGCAAGAAGAGCTTCCATCGGGTACAACTTTATCTAAAAGACTGCAGAAGACTCGCATCACTACCAAATTCACTCAGCAAAAATTGTGAATCACTGGAGAGCCTTACTTGCCCTTATAACACTCCATATGCACAGCTCAATTACTCAAACTGCTTCAAGCCAGATGGAGAAGCGCGACGAGCAATTATCAACCAACCATTTTTTCAAGGCTGGGCTTGCTTACCTGGAAGAGAAGTGCCTGTAGAGTTTGATTACCAAGCCAGAGGAAATTCCTTGACCATATGTCCGATGGGTGACATGCCACTCACCATTTTAAAGGTTTGCGTCGTGATTTCCCCTAACCAGCAAACAAGAGAATCGAACAACTATGGTGTCGTTGTGTAGGCAAAGGCAACATATACCTCCCAGTCGAGGAGATCAGTGTTTACGCTGTACCTAGGATTCGAAGAAAACATCTGTTTCTGTTTCAATTGTAAGAAGATGGCTGCAGTAACCAGCAGGATACATATGAATTCAGCAAAACTTCCGAACAAGACGCAGTTGGGAGTACTGAGGTCAGAGAATGTGAATCTGAATCCGCTGAAGCATACAAAGAGATGAAGCGAAGAGATGAACCTGACAAAGCATAAGAAACCATATACCACTTTTGGACTGTAGTTATGTGCCTAAACATTATCACTGAAACATATAATATCATTTTTAGAATGTAGCTATGTGCCTGAAACATTATCACTGAAACATATAATATCTTCAGGTTTTTTTCTTGTCTTGTCTCAGCTGAATATTGTACCATTTCTTCTTCTTCACTCCATCTTCTTCCCTAACTGCGACTTCTCCTTCTTCTCTAGATTCCATTAAAAGACTGCTCTTTTTCTTGCTCTTTCCCTTGCTCCAGCTTCTGTTCTTGCTTGAGCTTTGCTTCGTCGGCGGAAAGATTGTGTACGCTGCACATATCTCGTTCCTCCTCTTGAGAAGCTCATCGATCTGCAAACAAAACAAATGTCAGTTACTTGTTTATGTAATCAAGAAAATGTAGTGATATTGGCAGCTCTCTCTCACCTCTTGTATTTCCCCTGTGCATTTACTAGCCATCTCTGTGAACTGTGCAAAGACCTCGTGATATTCTGATTCAAACTTCAATAGCTCAGTTCTTTTGGAGACTATCTGTGCTTCAGTGGACCGGAGATTCTCTTTCTCATGTGCGAATGGAGCAGATGAGAATATTTCTAGAGTGTAGTTCACACTTTTGAAAAAATTGTCACCTAGAGTAATATGACACCAAGTGAGGTTACTTTACTTCTAATAGACTTGACTAGTAATTCATTTGAAACGCTAAGCGAATTAAACAAAACATACCGTAAACAGCAAATACATGAGATCCAGGTTTCAGTTCAGTGATCTCAAACGGTTGGAATGCATCGAGCCTTTTAAAAAATCCGGTCTCTGGATCCCTTGAGAGAGCCCTCTGTGAGTAAAAGAAAGACAACTGAATACAATGGTGGCTGAGAGATGCATATAAATGTGTTAACTTAAGAGGGCAGAGAAGATAGTTAACTGAATTAACCCTGTGATCAAAACGGTAAACAGGAAAGCCGAAAAAGTAAAACCCTGCAGTCGAGAGCTTTCCTGTTTTCCTGCTGTCTTCCTTTTGCAGAATGAAAGAAAATAAGACATAGTTTAGAGACGAGAAGAAACTTGGAGGTATGAAGATTCAAGATTTCAAGCAGATGCAGAATTTTGACGTAATATGTTAAGGAGGTTAGAAATTTTAGCAAAATCTGTGATCAGACTACTCTGCTATGTGTAACTACATGATCAGTCAATGTATGCTCAAAATTCAACAGAACGATTTGTTACTGAGTATACTAATAATACAAAACTTCATACCTGTAGGGCCAAACTCAGTCCTCCATTCTCTTCTCGATCAAAATAAAGTAACTGAGAAACAAAAGGAATCAGAAAGCATGATACAGAATAGGGAAAACAACTTCAAGATTCTTGAAAGTGAAAGGCAAAAGTTTGCGCATACGCACCTTGAATTTGTTTTTAGCAGATGACTGAACTTTACATATCAAACCGGCCTGGGCTTGTTCTTCTGTTAATGTAACAGAATAAAAGTGAGCCGATTGTTTTTCAACCTGTTAGAAGCAAAATATGTCAGAGAAGTGACAGAAACACATTAAAGCAAAGAACAACTAATTCTCATACCTTCCTGGAAACAACTTGGCCAACTGTAAGAGGCAAAGTAGTAACCATACCATTCAGCGCTTCCTCCAATAAATTTGCTGAGACAGTTGTCTTGATTTGCACACCAAGCTTACTGTTTTGAACAAAATTGTCAAGTTGTTAATCATCCCCCAAACAAAAGTAGAAACAACTGACTTACAAAAGGAGTCTTTTGGTAGTAATGGAAAAAAAAAAAACAGAAAGTAGAGCCAGTCTGATTTTACAAAACTCACTTGAACAGCGCGGCGAATATTGTATTAACAGCTCCTAAGCTTGAAAGATCAAGTTCAAGATCTTCACTTTCTGGAGCAGCAGCCTACATAAACATCACAGGTGAATGTAAAACTAGATATGTTCCAACACTAATGAAACCAGCAGCAAGACACATATACCCTACAAAGCTAAACCATTCGGTCCAATACTTCCCACTACATATGATATCCTCCATGCTTCAAGAATTTCACCAACAATGCAAAAATATGCAACAAACCATGGTTTCAATCAACCATAAAAATTGGAAATACGATGTTACCAAATTCAGAACTTGTATGAAATCTTACCTCAGAGCCAGTTGTATCATACTGACGCCGATTCTCAGGATCAGACAAGACCTCATAGGCAAATGTAATCTCCTCAAACATATCCATTGCAACCGGGTCGTTTGGATTCTTATCAGGATGGTACCTGAATTATGACTAAACTTCAGTACACGTAACTACAGAAACAGACAGACACACACACACTCACAAACTAGAGCTTGGATCCACCAACATCAGTAGTGATCCAAACCTCTTAATAACTTCTGAACCTAAACTGCATCCCAAACAACAACTAACTCACGAAAGATTCAAACTTTTTTGTCACAGAGTTGAATTAGACCTGAGAGCCATTCTCCGATAAGCACTTTTGATCTCTTGATCAGTCGAATTGGTGGGTATGCCAAGGACTTCATAAGGGTTCCGTCGCCGGTGATCATCTTCTCCGACGTCGTCTTTATTCTCCGATCTCGACGTATGAGTGGGCATTGTTGTTTCAAAAAGGTAAAAAAAATGGTGGCTTTAAATTTCGGAGGAGGAGGAAATAGCAAAATCTGGGGATCTTCGCAAGCAAGTGGGGAGAATGATTCATGCCTCGTGAATTGTGGTTTGGTAATCCAAAACCCTATGAGAAGAGACAGAGATAGAGGCAGCTCCATGGGGAAAACCCCACAAACACTCTGAGCTGGAGAAGACAAGAGAGAAGAGACGAGACATACAACACTTATTAATTCGTTATTTTTCTGATTTTTTTTTTTATTATCTAATTAAAATTTTGTAACTGTTTTTAATTTTAAAATATAGTTCAAATGACCCACTTGTAATTTAGAAACGGCCCAAAACATATCAGAAAGCCCATTAATAATACTGTATATGAGCTCGTCTATGGGCCCTCACATATGAACATAAACTCGTCGGAGTATTTGTACTAGAAGTAGAAACCAATAATGTTTTGTTCATTGTGTTAAACAAGGAGTATGTTCAGGCATATGCTATACAATGGAGTTTGAAAACAAGGGTAATGCTCTGACGGGATGATTCAGACCATAGAATACGAAGGTAAAAACTCTTCTAGTTATGTTCCTATCGAGTTTGTTTGGTAAGATGTTGATCAGTAAAATCTTCTGATCTACAGCTAGTATCGATTTGTAAAGTATAATCTTCTAATAAACACTTAAAGAGTGAAAAGTGCATGATAAGCCAAAAAAAAAAGTATTCGATGTGGATCTTTCTCTGACGACTATATGGACTGCTTACTTGCACAGTGGCCGCCACATGTCTCGAACGAATATGTTGTCGTATGTTGACACTATTTAGGATAATAATGATTTTTTTAAGTTTGTATAATGAATTATTGAGTATATCATGTATGTGAGTAGCTAGATGAATTCGTACGTAACAAAGTATGTGAATTATTCCTATGAGTATGAGTTTGTGGCTATATCGTATTGCAACAATGTCACAACAACTCATTATATATCTTTTGTCTACCCCGAACCCATCACAATTTCTTTATAATAGTTGTTAACTTCTCTTCACAATAAAATCGAATCATAGTAATTGATGAATGATATATATATAAGAAAATCAAATAATGCATGATTTGTATATATAGGCTATCTAAATATGCATAACATGTACTTGTTAAAATAATTTCAATAAAAAAAAACACTCTTGTAATTATCTGATTTTTATGGACCCAATTTACATGTTACAAGGTATAATTTATTCAACCTAATTATTGCTTCTAATAAGTGATTTGAGAGAAAACCAAATTATTTCGTCAACCCGTTACAATTTCTTTATAGTTATTGAATTCTTCACAATAAAATCGAATCGAGATATATATAGTAACTGATAAATGAAAAGAAAATCAAATAATGCATAAAATGTTAAAATAACTTAAATAAAGAAAACTGTTGTAATTATCTGATTTTTATGGACCCAATTTACATGTTACAAGAGGTACAATATATTCAACCAAATTATTGCTTCTAATAAGTGATTTGAGAGACAATGTACCTACCTGTCTATTTTGTTTTTTTTCACTACTTCCATTTTGGCCCGACTTAACTTTTTCAGATGATAAAAACAAAGAATGTTTCACAATCCAAACTCCATGAGTGACCTTTATATGTTTTTTGGGTATGTATGTTTCGTACAAAATATCTTGAAGGGTAGAAAAATCCTACTCAATGAGGTATATATGCATGGCAGCATATGGATATGAACTTTAACACATGAACAAAAAATAAACAATAAGTCAAACAACTCGATGTGTCTCTTTTTTTTGGTACTGCACACTTAGGGCTTCATTAACACACATCTTTATACAATAGTTGTGACTCTTCTGTTTAACCCACATGTATGTGTAGACTATAGAGAGTAAATACTTGTGATTCTTTTGACAATTTACTTTTCTTTGTTATAACTATTTTCAATGTTGTACTTATAAGTAATCATCATGTCTCTTCTTCTTTTTATCAGCCATAATTTCCCCTCTCTCCCTCTCTCATCATCATCATCAGCACCACCAAACTTCCACCAAACAAGTCTCATCAAACAACAATAAAGAAGTTTGAAGGGATCTTGAGACATACGAGCACACGATATGAAGATCTTGGCCTTGTTCTTCTTCTTATTCAAGAAAGTAAGATGGAAAAACAAACAAGCCCTAACTGGATGATCCATCCATGAAGGGTTGGTATTTGATGTTGAAGGAAAAGGGTTACATATCGAGAAGTACTGTTATTGTGTGAATCTGAATCTCGTCTCATCTCTTCAGGGGAATGGAAGCATTACGGTCCGATCTTCATCTCTCTTTATGATATTTTCATTTGTTTTACAGAAAGTTTTTTTTTCTTTCAAGATATATAACGACTATATGAACTGGTTGTGTTTATTTTGATAGTCAATTTGGGATTTTTGTATAACTAATAATTTTGTGTGTATTAGATTTCATTTTCTTACTTCATATATATCAGTATGAACTATATATATGTTTTTTTTTGCATTGAGATGTCAATTATACTTCAGTGCTGATAATCGTATTTTGATATATACACATGTGTTACTATACTTTAAAATCTATCCTAGAAATCTCTTGTTGCATATAGTAGATTTGGTCATCCGGATCTTCGAATTTCGTAGAAATATCCTTGAGCAATGAGTAATAGTAAACCATAGTTCGTGAAACTATAGTTCAGTTTACTTTTTCGAATAGAACAAAATCCATATAATTAAGCTAGATATCAGATTATAATGAGGAAGGGAATTTAAACATTCTACTATGTATTCATCAATTTTGAAGAAGTCTTTTTTTATGGGAGCTTCTTTTAATTTGTTACTAATTAATCAAAATGTAGTTTTAGAAAGAAACAAAAGTTGGCTCAGAACACATTTTTGTTAATTGGCAAGCAATTTTAAGGAACTCTAGTTTTCATATTTCAAATTTCTTAATACAAAAATCCCTCTCTCTTTTTTGACATCAAAGACGAGAATTCCTCATAAACATGTATAATGCATATATATGAAGAAGACAAATGTAAAAAACGTTTCTTCCACCAAAGACAAACTGATAGCTAGCTGTAAAACTAAAAAAGTTTCTTCAACCAAAGACAGACTCTCATAGCTATAAAAACGTTTTCTTCAACCAAAGACAAACCTCATAAAGCTGTAATAACGTTTCTTCAACCAGAGACAAACCTCATATAGCTGTAAAAACGTTTCTTCAACCAAAGACACACCCCTTGATTATTACTTTATTAGTACCAAAATAAGTGTGAAAAGGAACGACGTGAAAAGATAAACACCTCGATGTTTTCGATACTCTAGAATCACTTTTATCTTCATTCACAAAACATGTACACTTAAATAATCCACAAGTCATATATATTGGGTCAGGGTATAACAATACATTCTATCGCAACTCAGGGAAGGCAAATAGACTACATAGAAAATGAAGAAGATTATGATGATGAAGACTAATAGGAATAATTATTCGTTGTAGTGAACAGCACACGTCGAACGTACGTTTAGGAAATCTTTCTTTGAGAGACCTTACGATCGATATAAATACGCTGTGATGTTTTCCTGTGAGTAAATACTTTGGAAACAAAAGTTAGATTGATGAGTGAAGTCGCATGAACATTGTCGTTCTTTGTTGACATGTAGTTGATATCGAACCAAGTAACAGTTAAAGAAGAAAACAAACAGTATTCCTTGTTCATTAGCTCAAGATTATCGAAGCATATTCAAAGCATAAGAGTAATGATGATCCTTCACAAATTTTTTTTGTAGATATGTTTTCCTCTTAATTATTCTATTGGTTTACATAACCATTGTTGCTACACAATCTTTATTAAATATAGCCAAATTTATTGCACAAATCAAAATATAGTTTATAATTTGAATGTTAAAATAAGATTGTGAAACAAATGGGAAAGAACATGGGAAGATAGGCAAGGGAAATAACACAATTCTCATGGGAAGCTTCCTCCCACTAAACTCTAGCTAGGGTTTAGAATTAATTACAGCACTCTTAACTCTTAACGTTGTTATCCATTTATTTATATCCATAGAAACCTAAATATTTTATTTTCTATTTTGAATCCATTTCCATCTACTTTTAAAGTCTTAAGCCATATTGCACGTATCGTAACAATTAATTTATCAAGTTCTATTTTTTCCATTGCATTATCTAATTTGCCATTTTACTTAATTCAAAATATATATTTAATACCCAAAATCACGATCATTGACAATAATGTGTAAATCTACGTTCGAATTAATCCACCATAAAACACTAGAAAAAAATGTACGTTAAATAACATCACACGACTATCATCATTTAATTAACCTATCTATCTTGGCATCAACTAATAAACCTCTTTAATTCAAACAAAATTAGTTTACGTCTTTGAATTTTTTTTTTTTTTGTCGGCTAACTTGAAAGACTTCTAAACAAATCCGATAGTTTCTGTCTTAAAAATGATAAACTCCAAAAATATTTCGATATTATTATCCCATCACAATGACATAACAAATACTAATAATCAAAATAATTAAAGAACCAATGTTGTTGTTGTACTTGTACTTGGACACCAATCAAATAGAATATTTACTTTTTAGAAAGCCAAAATAAAATATTGACCCCAAAATACGTCATAATATCTAAAAACAAATAAACAAAACACACGTGGCAATCAATGATAAGCTAATCACCCACCCTCTCCACCGACGCAAGCCACCACCACCACCACTACCGCTAGTTTCACTCTCACGGCTAGTGTTCTTCTTCCCACCACCACCGTCTCCGTTGGGATTCCCACCGTACAAATGCTGTATACCTTCAATATCATCCTTCGCTAACTCTACTTTCCGATCTCCACCCGAAATCGCCGGAAACATAATCGCATCTTCAACCGACGAGTGACCTAACCCTAACAAATGCCCGATCTCATGAACCACCACCGATTCAAGATCCACCACCGTCGTCACCGGTAATATCCTACGGCTGATTGCACCGTCGGAGATTAACCAATCCTCGTCCCCGTCTAAATGTAACATCCCCGTAGGAGGTGACGAAGCGTGAGCTAACGTTCCCATAGCTCCATCGAACGGCTCACCATCTCCATGTTCACCGGAGAAGAACCCGATAAATATATCAGCTCCGCGGAGAGACTCGGAGCGCGCGAAATTCAACGGCGTCACCTCCGCCCATCGCGTGAATGCGCGTGCGAACACGCGCTTTACCTCGTCTGTTAGATTGTTCTGTGGTAAAAACGCGTAAGTCAGATCTCGTTTCCGTTTCGGCCACCGCGGCTTTCCGGGAAAAAACGAGTACCGCTCCGTCGTACGGAGCTTTCGTCCGCCGTTCATCTCCGAAAATCCGTCGATCATGTCCGGATTCCCGCATCGAGGTTTGACGATCTGTCGGAGAGTGAAGGAATCGAGTTTTCCGGTGACTTTGAGATTGAAATTTTTCTGGTACGTGTTGATCGCCGATTGAAGAGCGTCGTCGAAATCGTCCGTACAGTTTTTGATGGTGGTGATGTAACCGAAACGGTGGAAGTATTGTTTGAGTTTAGAGAGACCGTCGATTTTTTCTCCGATTTGACAACCGGCGAGTTTCGAGAACGTTTCCCAAGCGTTTTGCGTTGCGTTTAGGAATTGTAACGGTGGGATTGAAGAAACGTTTGTGTAGAATTTGGCTGAGATTGGATTCACTGTGAAGAAGAAGAAGACGAAGAAGCTTAAGATCGTTAGTTGTGTGAGAAATCTCATTTTTAATTTATTTTTGGAAAGAAATAAAAATGGGAGAAGCTACAGAAAAATTGATAGGAAGAAAGAAACGACGTCGTAAATGATTTATAAAGCCTAAATGCTAGCTACGCGCACTTGTTCCATTTTTTTCCACACGGTGTAAATGCACATACGTGACATGTTTTTGGATATTAAAACATGTAATTATATAGTAATATTTTATGAACAAATCAAATTCTAGCACATAAAAACTTGTCCAAAAATTTTGGTTTCAAAAATAAACCGAATTAGTCACAAAATCCAAATGGATTGGATTTTATATATTTTATTCGAATTATTTGAACCATACCTAAACTAAGAGTATATTTAAATATATTTGATATTAGTTATAATTGGATATAATTTTATTTAAAAAATATATATTAAAATATACAAATGAGCGTTTTGGTAAAATAATTCAAAAGTTTATAATTAAAAAATTAATGAAACAGTATGGGTAATTTATTTGAAACTTTATAAAAAGTTGGAAGATCTTCTTTGTATTTTACCATAATATTATAACACTATGGTCTAATTTTATAAAATGAAGATATGCTTCGTAGTACTTATTTAACTAAAGAGATTATCAGCATTAGCAACAGTGGCTACTGAGTTAAATAAGCTTTGGGCAACCCAAGAGAAACCATATTTCTCAGAGCACACCTTCGTTGACTTTTTTTACGACTATTCTTTGAACCAATGTCTTCAACCACAGTACCAGTCCCAACGATCCCAATCAGATCCGGCCCATCTGGCCACCACTCGATGCCGGTTCTAGGTTTCGGAACCGCCGCGTCTCCCATACCAGAACCAACGATGCTGAAAGAGACGATAATTGAAGCCATCAAACTCGGTTATCGCCACTTCGACACATCTCCCAGATACCAAACAGAGGAACCCATCGGCGAAGCTTTGGCCGAAGCAGTCTCTCTCGGTTTAGTCAAATCTCGATCTGAGTTCTTCGTCACTACAAAGCTTTGGTGTGCTGATGCTCATGCCGGTCTTGTCGTACCAGCCATCAAACGGAGTTTAAAGTAAGACTATTGATCAGTGATTTGGTTTGGTTTTTGTTCGGTTCGGGTTAATTTGATTTGGTTTTTAATTCGGTTTGGTTTAGTCAATGATTGATTTGAACACATTTACATCATTAGAATCATCAATGTAACAATGTATTATGGTATTTGTAGGAATCTTAAACTGGACTATCTTGATCTGTACTTAATTCATTGGCCGGTTAGTTCTAAGCCTGGTAAGTACAAGTTTCCTATTGATGAAGATGATTTTCTACCAATGGATTTCAAAGCAGTTTGGTCTGAAATGGAGGAGTGTCAAAGAATCGGGCTTGCAAAGTGTATAGGAGTAAGCAATTTTTCGTGTAAGAAGCTCCAACATATCCTCTCTATCGCGACGATCCCGCCAAGTGTTAATCAAGTAAAAAATCTAATGGTTTTGTCACTCTTTTAGTTGAATAGTAAGACAACAATTAAAATTTACATTTTGTATTATGGATGATTTGTGAACAAGGTGGAGATGAGTCCAATATGGCAACAGAGAAAACTAAGGGAGCTTTGTAAGTCAAACGATATTGTTGTGACAGCTTACTCAGTGTTGGGATCGAGAGGGGCTTTTTGGGGAACTCACAAGATTATGGAATCAGATGTACTTGGAGAAATAGCTAAGGCAAAGGATAAAACAGTGGCACAGGTCAGTATTACAATATAAACAAGTTCAATATTAGAACTTGACAAGTATATAAAGTTCATATCTAGAGTTGTGATTATTATTAACAGGTGAGTATGAGATGGGCTTATGAACAAGGAGTGAGCATGGTGGTGAAGAGCTTTACTAAAGGGAGATTAGAAGAGAATCTGAAGATATTTGATTGGTCTTTGACAGAAGAGGAGACACAAAGGATCTCTACAGAGATCCCTCAGTTTAGGAACGTCAGTGGAGAGGTTTATACATCCGAGAAAGGTCCTATAAAATCTGTCGAGGAGATGTGGGACGGCGAGATCTGATCAATCTTTGTGTGAACAAAATCCAACCTAGTGAAACCGTGCAATCATAGTATCACCAGAATTATTTTACATGCATGTCATCCTATTATAATACTAAATAAATACATTTTAAAAATAAAAAGTGAATGTTGTTACAAAAACTAGTCTTGGATATATAATTTGGAAAATTTCAATTAAAAAAACACGAATTAATATTTGTCGGAAAAAATATTATAAAAAAATTTGTTATGAAAGATTTACATATCCAAAAAATGTCTCATAAAACCTGCCGCGGAGATGTGGGAAGGCGAGATCTGATCAATCTTTGTTTGAAAAGTTAAACCGCACAATCATAAACATCATTGTGAATATTTTACCTGCCACCCTATTATAATAAATGAGTACATTCTAAAAGTGAATGCCGTTAAATTTTGAAAATTCCAAGAAAAGATACGATAATTTAATATTTGTCGGAAAATACATGAGTGTGATTCGTTGTTGAAAAATTACGTAAACCAATTTATCGTTGATATAAAAATACGATCTAATACACAATTAACATCTTTGGTACAAAAAAAGAAAGTGACTTATTTAATATTGACTAAAGAAAATGAAGAAAATGTTGATTATGTAATATTTATTATCCATTAACAAAATGACCATTAACACTATCGATGGTGCTAAATTGCTAATGTAAGTATCGTGTGCGTTTGAAGAGGCCGTCGACTTTGTCTCGACTGTTTTCAAAAGTTTTCCATGTGGCATTAGGAACTCTAATAATAGTAAGGACGATACGTTTGAGGAGGCTCTCACAATACACATTGAACAATCTTAATATTGGAATGGGAGAAGCTAAGCGCACTCGCTCCTCGTTTCCTTTTTTTTTGTCGCGTGATAGAGAGGAACCACCAAAAACGTGGTTTCTCACACCTTCATGCATGAGAGTCCTCACCTTCATGCATGAGAGTCCTCACCTTCTCTCTCTTTCATGCAACATAACTCTTTTGTAACAGCTAGTTTTATTTTATGGCCACTAGTGACATGTATTTTTTTCTCTTTGGTTATTTTTGGCAGCCATGGTGGCTAGCTACTAAGTAATGACTATATATAAGTTGAGCCAATGAGAAACGATTCTCTCATAGCAAACATTTATATTATTTGACTTATAGGCACTTCTTTTTTTCACCAATGTCAGCTCTTACTTTCCCAATCGGACCCGTTCATCACTTGATGCCGGTTCTAGCTTTTGGAACAGCCGCGTCACCTCCACCAGAACCGATGGTGCTGAAGAAAACGGTGTTGGAGGCCATCAAGCTTGGTTACCGTCACTTTGACACGTCTCCGAGGTACCAGACTGAGGAGCCGTTAGGTGATGCTTTGGCTGAGGCGATTAATCTTGGCTTAGTCCAATCTCGATCCGAACTCTTTGTCACTTCTAAGCTATGGTGTGCTGATGCTCATGCCGGCCTTGTTGTACCAGCCATCGAACGGAGTTTGAAGTAAGATTCAGATTATTTTCTAAGTCAATAAATTTCATTGTTAGACTTAGAGACTTGGCTCATAGTGCAAAGAAAAATTTAAATACAATCTCGTGGACGTTACATATTATAGAAATGATATAATATTTTCATCATCACTTTGACACATGGTGTTTTTTGCAGAAATCTTAAACTGGACTATCTCGATCTCTACCTGATTCATTGGCCTGTTAGCTCGAAACCCGGAAAATACAAGTTTCCTATAGAAAAAGATGATTTTCTGCCAATGGATTATGAAACAGTCTGGTCAGAGATGGAAGAGTGCCAAAGACTTGGAGTTGCAAAGTCTATAGGAGTAAGCAACTTCTCTTGCAAGAAGCTCCAGCACATCCTCTCTATCGCCAAAATCCCACCTAGTGTCAACCAAGTAAATCTAGTTCTTCTCTCTTATAATTTCTCAACAAGTTCAAATTCTCTTTAGTTAGAATAAATATTTGTGGATAATGTGAAAAAATAAGGTGGAGATGAGTCCAGTATGGCAACAGAGAAAGCTGAGGGAGTTTTGTAAGTCAAAGGGCATCGCTGTGACAGCTTACTCGGTGTTGGCATCGAGAGGAGCCTTTTGGGGAAATCACAAGATCATGGAGTCTGATGTTCTTAAGGAAATTGCTGAGGCCAAGGGTAAAACTGTAGCTCAGGTACTCTCTTTAATTAGGCACTTCTTTATTTGGCTAGAGCATCTTTTAAGTTAAGTAGTACTAACTTAAATTCTATGTTATATTAGTTTCCTTTTTAATGTGAAAATACTAAAAATATCCATATTATGCACTAGCTGAATCCATTAGAGTGCAAATGTGTTTGAGCATGAGTACTACAATATTTTTTGGGAATGCAATTATTATTTAAATCTCATTTTTAGAGTTATAAGACCAACATTATAGCCTATAATGTTGCCCTAAAATGATAAATGGCAGGTGAGTATGAGATGGGCTTACGAACAAGGAGTGAGCATGGTGGTGAAGAGCTTTAGGAAAGAGAGATTGGAAGAGAATGTGAAGATATTTGATTGGTCTTTGACGGAAGAGGAGACACAAAGAATCTCGACTGAGATTTCTCAGTCCAGGATCGTTGACGGAGAGGTTTATATCTCCGAGAAAGGTCCAATCAAATCTGTCGCCGAGATGTGGGACGGCGAGATCTAATCACTCTCTTTGTATGAAAATATTAGCCTAGTGAAAACCAAGCAATCATCATTTGTCATAGTGATTTAATTTTGCATTCCCTTATAATGAATGAGTAAACGATTCATTGTGTAGACACAACATTGTAATCAATCACTGAGATTGAATTCACAACGAGGAGGCTCACAGTGCACATTGAACAATCTTAAGTTTGAAATGGGAGAATGCCAAGCGCACTCACATCTTATTAATCAATTTGATATTACAATCACACTACACATATGGTTATGTTCTTTTTCTTGTCGCGATAGAGAGAGGAGCCACCACAAATATTCAAAACTTTAGAAAATGGTTCCTCATTGACTTAGCTTATACTCATTACTTTAGTAGTTACCATGGCTGCCAAAAACAAGAAAAGGAAAAAGTATTTTACCTGATCATTTTCCCAAATTTCGATGACTCCAAAGAAAAGTAAAGAAACAATCAACGTCAAGCTTTTCACTAACTTGTATTCCAAGGAACATGCTTACACTACTTTTGGACAGCCACTCTATAAAAACGTTCCGAAGACAGCCATAAAGCACTAATAATTGAGGTTTTTCAACAAGTAAACACTGTTGTGTTTGCCTAAAAATACAAAAAGAATTTAAAAAAAAAGTAACTCAATGAAAATGACAATGGGTCGAATCCAACCAAAAGCTAGTCCAATACATATGCATGAATAATTCAGAGCCACCGGTGAAATTGGACCCAATACTAAAACTAGACAAATAACTGGGAGTTCGGTTCACCTATTGTAGCCGGTTACCGGTAACATGTGACATCAGTACATGCTACGTTTTGTCTTTTTGATGGCTACTCGTGACATTTTTTTTCTTCCTTAGATCGTTTTTAGCAGCCATGATGGCTACTTACTAAGTAGTGAGTATAAGTTGAGCCAATGAGAAACCATTTTCTCGTAGCAAACTTTCTTTGACTTTTTCACCAATATGTCAGCTCTTACGTTCCCAATCGGACCAGTTCATCACTTGATGCCGGTTCTAGCTCTTGGAACCGCTGCGTCACCTCCACCAGAGCCGATGGTGCTCAAAAAGACTGTGTTGGAGGCCATTAAGCTCGGTTACCGTCACTTTGACACGTCTCCGAGGTATCAGACTGAGGAGCCGCTAGGTGATGCTTTGGCTGAGGCGGTTGGTCTTGGCTTAGTTGAATCTCGATCCGAACTCTTTGTTACTTCTAAGCTATGGTGTGCTGATGCTCATGGCGGCCTTGTTGTACCGGCGATCGAACGGAGTTTGAAGTAAGATTCAAATTACTTTTTACAAACAATGTCACATGAGATATATATGGACCATATATACATAATACATCTCATTAATTGTTATACTTAGAGAGTCTAAGAGCTTGGGCCATAGCGCAAAGATTTTTTTTTGTTTTAGGGTTGTGCATGCATGGATTCTCTTAAAAAAATCAGTTGTGAAAGCATTTGAGTGAATATTGCGGATAATAAAAATGGGTCTCTAAAATTAATGATTTTGCCCCCGCAATTAAAAAAAAATGATAATTTAAATTTCATCATATATCACTGACATGATTATGTTTTGCAGTAATCTTAAACTGGATTATCTCGATCTCTACCTAATCCATTGGCCGGTTAGCTCGAAACCCGGCAAATACAAGTTTCCTATAGAAGAAGATGATTTTCTACCAATGGATTATGAAGCAGTTTGGTCAGAGATGGAAGAGTGCCAAAGACTTGGAGTTGCAAAGTGTATTGGAGTAAGCAACTTCTCATGCAAGAAGCTCCAACACATACTCTCTATCGCAAAAATCCCACCTAGCGTCAACCAAGTAAATCTAGTTTTACTCTCATATAATGTCTCAACAAGTTCGATTATTTTATAGTTAGAATAAATCATGTTTTCGTGGATTATGTGGAAAAAGGTGGAGATGAGTCCAGTATGGCAACAGAGAAAGCTGAGGAAACTTTGTAAGTCAAAGGGCATTGTTGTGACGGCTTACTCGGTGTTGGGATCGAGAGGAGCCTTTTGGGGAAACCACAAGATCATGGAGTCTGATGTTCTTAAAGAAATTGCTGAGGCCAAGGGTAAAACTGTAGCACAGGTATACTCTCCAAAGTCTTTACATAAAATGTACAAATGAGAACACATCCATATTTTTTAAATTTGATTTAGTCGTAAATTCGCATGATACTCCATTTATTATGACTACGTCAGAAATGTGAAAAAAAATTCTTTTAGTTAACTCAATATTAATTATTAGGTTAATTTTTAAAAATAAAAGAATTAATGTGAAAATTGATAAAGAAAATAGAAAAGAATCTCCATGCATGGACATATTTGAGTTGTATTATCATTATACCATTAGAGCATCATTATTGGTAGGATATTAGTAAGATTTTAAGTTAACAAAAGTTAAGAAAAATTAAGAAATTAAAGGTCTTTTATATAAGAAACATCTAACACATTGTTTTTAATTTTTCTGAACATAAAATTTTGCTAAGAATCCACCAATAATGGTGGTCTAAGCTGAATCCAAAATCCCTATAGTCCAAATGTTATGTAACGGTGAGTACATGGAACTAAATAATTATTTAAAGCTCCAAATTGAGAGTTGTAAATGAGAAATGACAGGTGAGTATGAGATGGGCTTACGAGGAAGGAGTGAGCATGGTGGTGAAGAGCTTTAGGAAAGAGAGGTTAGAAGAGAATCTGAAGATATTTGATTGGTCTTTGACAGAAGAGGAGACACAAAGAATCTCTACAGAGATTTCTCAGTCGAGGATCGTTGACGGAGAGGTTTACATTTCCGAGAAAGGTCCAATCAAATCTGTCGCTGAGTTGTGGGACGGTGAGATTTAAAATTACTTCCTTCGTGTCAATGATATGGGCCGGTTCTTAAAATTTTAGTCTTTGATTATTTTAGTTTGTAAAGTCGTATTTTCAATTACGTAGGTAACAAATAAAAATTTGACATGCATCGTTCCGTTTATCAAATGTCGTTTTATAATGCAAGTAATTGTTATTTTCATTAAAATGACAAAGTTGATTCAAAAATAAAATCATGTATTCGCATTATAAAATAATATCATTTTATAAACCTTTTCGATCATTAAAACGCATAAATTTCTTCGATAATATTAGGAGATAGAGATCGGGATTGAACAAGATCGACGGTCGAGATGTCAATCCTAAAATATGGAAATCGAGAAGATATTATTATAGAAGATTATTGATAAATGTTAATATTGAGTTTAAGAAGTTTAACATTATCACAATATATATTATTTATATTTATGTTCATGAGAGTCTAATATAATTTTTTCTCTAAACATTTTTGTGTTCTTTACTCACATTAATTTATCAGATAAAACTTTAGATTTAAGTGGTTTTTATATATATATATATATATATATATAAATGAATAGAATGTAGTTTGTATGAATTGAAATCGATGAACAAAGAGATTAGTCGTTAGGAAATAAAGTTAAAAGTAATTACTAACTACATTGTGATCATACAAACACTCAACAACGTAAAAACATACTTATTTTCATTATTTTTTATGCGTGTGTGCCGATATCACTATTGGTGTGATTTTAGGTTTAACGTATGATTAGCCATTACCACAATTTGTAATAATAATAAATAAATAAAAAACATAACGTAGAATTTATTTATTTATTTTAAGAAACGAAGAAGAAAAAAAAGACACCTATAAAAAGATTTGATACTGAGAGTAATAATGCAAACATCAAACAAAAGTGAAGGAAGCAAAAAAGGAAGAAGCAAATTTCTCTTCTTTTTTCTCACTGAGAAAGAGAGCAATGGCCGCCAGAGACGGTGGCGTTTCGTGTCTACGAAGATCAGAGATGATCGGAATAGGAATCGGAGAACTAGAATCTCCACCGTTAGATTCTGATCAAGTTCACGTTCTCGCCGTCGATGACAGCCTAGTCGATCGTATCGTCATCGAAAGATTACTTCGTATCACCTCTTGCAAAGGTTAGTAGTTCCTTATCTTCTTCTTCTTTATTTCTCTTTGCCAAATAATAATAATAACAATAACTTAATTCTCCGGCGATGATTCAATGCAGTTACGGCTGTTGACAGCGGATGGCGAGCTCTCGAATTCTTAGGATTAGACGACGATAAAGCCTCCGTCGAATTCGATGTAAATCCTTTTCAAACAAATAAACTCTGACATTTTAGAGCATTTTAGAGCATTTTAGAGATTCAAGATTCTTGAATCTTGATCTTGATTTTGATCTTAATCTTGATCTTGTTATTAATATTGATCTTGATTATATTTTAACAGAGATTGAAGGTTGATTTGATCATAACTGATTACTGTATGCCTGGAATGACCGGTTACGAGCTTTTGAAAAAGATCAAGGTAATTCCGAAATTTTCCCGCCATAAAAAAAGTTACTGTTAATATTTTTATTTTTTTTGGCAATTCTTGAAACAATCAAGAATTTAAAGAACCTTGAAACAAGAACAAGAAATATCATGTTCTTGAAACAATCAAGAAAATGCCAAATTAATCAAGAAATATATCATTTTCTTGAAACAGGAATCGACAAGTTTCAAAGAAGTTCCGGTTGTTATAATGTCGTCGGAGAACGTACTCACTCGAATCGACAGGTGAGATGAGATCTCCTCGCCGGAGCTTTTTTTATCCGAACTTTGTAGCAATCAAATTATTAAATCAAGAAAATCTGAATTTTTGTACGTAGATGTCTTGAAGAAGGTGCGGAGGATTTTTTACTTAAACCGGTGAAACTCGCCGACGTGAAACGTCTAAGGAGTTACTTGACTAAAGATGTTAAAGTCTCCAGCGACAGAAACAAACAAAAGCAGAGTAGTACTACTCCGGCGTCACCATTAACGCCGCTCTCATCCACCACCTCCATGGACTCTTCAGCCTCTACGGTGGAATCTCCGATGTCTATGGTTGTTGATGAAGATACGTTGACATTTTCGCCGGAGTCTTCGACGTCGCCGGTGGATTCGCCGATGAGAAGGCTAGAGATGAAGAGTCCCGGTTTAGATTAGTAATGCATGATCTCCGTTAACTTTTTTTTTTTTTTTTACTTTTGACGGTTGTATTGACTGCAACGTTGACTTGACGCCGTCAGTTTATATAGATCTCTCTCTCTTTTGTATCGTTTGCACGTGCGGGGAGGTTCTTTACCCACGAAGGAACACTTTGTTGAATTTCTTGTATTTAAATTAAATTACATATATATAAACTGTATTTTTGGTGTTTTTTAAAAAAATGTTCTGTTTCTTTAATCGGATGATAATAATTAAAAAATGTTACTGTATCTAGGTGTATGATCATATCGTATGCTAATCACTTTTGAGATTTGAAAGCTAATATTTGATATTGCCAGCGATTAGCGTTTGGTTGATGATTTGATATGTTTTTTTTAATAATGTACGTACGACTTGGGGATACTTTTAGCTAATCTTCACTTAAACTAACTAACAACTAAATCTTGAGTTATTTCTAATTAAAGAAAATAGTTTTCAAATATTCTGCATGGCTTAATTGAATTTTATGAACTATTTAAAAGATCGTAATTCTATATGAAACCAATTGGTAGTTTACGAGTCGCGATTATATATACATATTTTAGTTGTACATACTAATTAGGTATAAGAATTTTGACTATAAACAAATTTGTAACTAATATATGTATATATACTTCATCTCTTTATATGTTTGGTAGTGGCTACGTTTTACACTATACAACCCATTTGCAAACTCCACATACTAATATAAAACTAGCTTCTATCTTTTTTACCATACGTTGAACTTGAACACTGCGGCTATAAGGTAGTGGCTGAGTTGGCTAAACCAATGCCATGTGGTCTTGGTCACGCATAGCTACGAACTAGCCACAGTTGCATAAGCACAATCTTTATTAGTAGCCACAAGTTTAGTGAACGTTTAATTTCTCTCTCGAGTTGGTTAAAAGAAACCCATTTTTATGGAAACGATGTACGTAATGTACTAATGTATGTAGCATATGTACGAATTGATGATTAAATGGATACATTGTATTTTTTTTTGTCAACATATTGTTAAAGTAATTAAAAGTCTGGAAATGAGTAATCAAGTGTTGTCTAAATACATATAATCATCATTGGGATCTTGATTCATATCTAACCTTAGGAAGTCTACTAGTAATAAAACCATTAAGTATGCGTTGTAGGCTTGTAGCTCCTAATCACACAGACTTACACCACGACCACAATATCTACTTATATATAAGATAACCATTGGGATTCTTCATTCATATCTAACCTTTAATTAGGAGGTCTACTAAAACCCTTAAAGTATGCATTCTAGCTCCTAATGACACATACTTATATTGTCTTGATTCACACCACGACCACAATATCTACTCATTGAGAAGAAGAAAATAAGTAATATAATATGTTGAACTTTCTTGAGAATGAAGGATCAAATTCGAATAATATAATAATGTACGGCTTCAGTGTTGTATCAACGAGATCCTTATTCCTTACATTGCCCATTGGAACTTAGAAGGAGGCACTGAATATTTAAAAAAACAATGTAAGGAGAGGCAAATCACAAATGCAATGAATCAAAATCAAAAATAATAATTGGTAGAGACAAGAGAATCAGCTTCAAAGATACTCCCCACGTTTGGCGTACTAAACATGTGATTCATTCATTCAACTTTTTATCTTCTTCCCATTTTGATTTCTGTTTTGTCCCCTTAAGGTACGGCCACTTATTCTTCTGCACTTCTTTATTGCAGAACATGCGAAGATAAAAAAAAAAAACACAGTGAATGACATGTTTTTAAGAACTTGCTAAAGTGCTTTATAAATGATACTTATGCAAAGCTTTTTTCTCTTTATTCTTTAGAATGTCGCAGCAAATGGTGTGTTTGTTTTCGTTACAAATTTAATAAACTTTTCTTAAATTTTGAAAAATACAAAATAGACGGTTTGATTGGAAAAATGGCGTATTTGCATTTAAAATTTGTTCGATTTATATATTTGTTTTCGTTTTTGGAGTAAAAATTTATTAATTACGAACGGCATGATAGTAGAGAAAATGATTCGTTTGAGCATAGATTAAAACCAAAAACAAAACATTTGAGAAAGTGTTTTTAGTCATATTGTTCTATGTACACTTTCCCTTTTCATCATATTTTCAATCAATTTTTTGTTGTTATAGAGATGTTACATTATAAACCATAACATATAGTCCCACATTTTATATTAGTGTCGTTGATTATCACCATTAAAAACGTCTTCAATAAACACATTTTTCTAACATTTAAAAAATGCTATCAAATAAAATGCTCTGCCAATTGATTTGGTGTTTTAAATTTCTGGTCAGTGTGAACTACAATTTCAAGAAACAAATGTCTCCGGAAGAGGTGATAGACGTTTAATTTTGTTTACTCATCTTATATTACATGGTTGTATACTTGTATCATGTGTCGGAAGGACTTGGGAATTGCGAGACAGTAGTAGCTAGCAGATGTGGTTTACCGTTTACCCAAATGAAACATTTATCAAATCTTGCATAAGGTAAATCAAAGATCTATATGTACTAGCTTTTTCAAACAAAAAAGTAATGGACTATTTGTGTAAAAACACCACATGCAACTTTTTGTTTGCTTGGCCCATCAAGACACAATATTTGTAAGGTTCCAAAAACTAGTGGGTCTAGAGATTCATTTGTTTTTTTGTTTCTGGCCCACTAGAGGTTTTTAGACATAAAACAGGTTTTAAAAGAAAAATCTCTTTGAGATGAATTATCATATCTCATCTGAATTTTAGAACACGTTTGCGTAAGAAACTTTATATCGTTATTGTGCAAGTTACCAAAATTTCATTTCTTGTGTTTCTTTGCTAAAGTAGCACTACCGCATGAGAAGGCTGATGATAAAGACTACCCCTAGGCCCTAGTTGGTCGACCAAATTATTTTACATTTGTATACTGTCAATTATATAATATAGTAATATACATAACATGCGCTTTCGAAAGCTACGTGCTTGTCGGGTTTTGAAGTTTTTTGTTTCGAGAGATTGACTCTCATCGTGATATCTTTGGTTTGGTTTGGCCGTAGACATTCTTGATAAATCTCTCTCACTTGTTTCAGAAGAAAAAGTGTTTTGTGTTCTTGGTTCTATTGTTTTTCTTAAGGTCTTTGTGGCCGGTTTCTTATGTTCTCAACTTAAGGTTTTGGCTCCTCTCGTTTTAAGTTGCAAATTTTCTGTTTTGTATTTTTTTTCTATCTTAGACTGTCTTTCATAGGGCTTAATGACTATGGAACATATTCATCGTTCGCCGGCTTATGTTTATTCTTTTGGACGTTGTATTTCATCTTTGATTTCACCATAAAGATTAATAAAATTTTAGAGACAAAAAAATAAAAACATGCCTGGAGTATTTTGTAAAATTTTCATAATTGATACAATTACAAATGAAATGGTACTATATACTGTTTACAGAAACGTATATGTGTAACTGTAACTACTACTTTTATTTAATTTGCCACATAGCAGTGACATTACTACTACACGTATTGAAATGATTCCACTATAGCAACTATCAACTAATTCATAATTTGGCCTCTTTCCACATGAGCGTCTTAATCAACTTTTAGCAAGTATAGTAACAACATTTATTATTTTACTAACAACATTCCATAACTAGCTAAACTCTCAATCATAATTATAAACGACTTGATGTCATCTATTAAAAATTTAAAACACACCCTTTTTAAAAAAGAGAGGATCATCACTTTCGTGTCAATAAGAGGAATAGAGAGGATCATCACTTTCTAGTGTCAAAAATTTCTAAATCTTTAATTACAAAGAAATAAAAGTAGCATCGACAAGTCTTCTTCGATGCTTCTTTATATGAACAGATGAGATGGGACCAAAATGTTTTTAATATATCTCTAACTTCTCAACACCTACCGATAAGCAAATACTACTTCTATCGATTACACACAAAAAGTCAAACATTCCAAAACCACATTTACACTTCAACTTTCTTCTCTTGCGGTTTCTTCTAGAACACATCCACTGATCCACATTATTACCTAAAACAATCACAATTCTCATTTAATTCTCATGCACCACAAAAAAAAAAACGCATAAAAAGGTCCACGGGGTTGGTTAACTTACAACTCACAAGTCACACAACACTATTAAAGAACTACTCCTATATTGTTAGGTTTTAAAAAGATGTATGAATGTATAACTACTTTAACAACAACATAATGATTACTCGAGTTTTGCATTCATATTCTCTAGTTTAAACGACGACGAAGAAGAAGAGTCACCAAAGTCAACGCGTATCAGACAGGTCAAACATCAAGACATCTTCCGCTTCCAAATTCGGACACGACCGGGTCAACCCAGCCGCATTAAACTCAAAATGACGAAAGTACCCTTATTTTGACACGCGTGTATATTGAGTTAACGGAGGTTGTTTTCGTAACATCATAGCTCAATGTCGAAAGAAGTTTTTATTTTTGTAATTATTTATATTAATATTTATGTTGCTTTTTTACCAAAAATTATCATTAATGTGTTAAATCATTAATGGTTGTCATGTTCAGACAAAAAAAATCATTCCAAATACAAATTTTATTTTTTTCATTTTTTCTTCGTTGGCAAATCAAATTCATCAGAACCTTTTGATTTCGCCGCGTGACTCTTATCTCCGTTGACGGCGAGTTATTCTCAGGTCGGTCAAGAACCACCAGCGATGTCGTTTCTGTTTCGTAAGAACGGTAGTAGTTCACGGAAGAAGATCAAAGACAAACTCCGTGGTCGGAACTCAGATCGAGGCGGGAGGAGAGAAGAAGAAAACAGAGTCAGACACGACGGCGGATCCGATTCGTTGCCTCCACCGCCGTCTCCTTGGGGTTTTCTCTTCCCGGAGGATTTTGTTCGAATCGACGGGAATCTAAAAGCTGTTATTGTAGATGAAGAAGGTTTAGATGTGATTTACTGGAAAAAGCTTATAGAGTTGGAAAATAGCGGGAAAATTAGGAAAAACCCTAAACCTAGAAGACGAGTTGACAAATCCGGTGGCGGATTTAGAACAACTGGAGTAGATCAAGACGATTATGGTGAAAATGATGATGATGATGATGATGATGATTCGATTGGAGATGCGTTTTCGTTTCCGGTGAGAAATTCTCAATCTTCTTCAGGTGATGTTGGAGGAGGTAGACACTATACTTCTTCTTCTGCTTCGCCGTCGCGTCCTTCTTCTTCTTCTGCATCTGCTGCTTCGCCGTCAAGGACTTCGTATTCTGCAAGTGATTATGGTGTTGGTGGCAAACAATCTCAATCTAAATTTCAAGCTCCTGGCGGCGGCGGCTCGTTTCCCTCTTCGCCGTCGCGGGTTCAAATCGGTGGTGGTGGCGGTCGTTCGCCGCCGCTTCCGCTTCCTCCTGGTCAGCTTGCGGCGGGAAATGGGGCATTTTCTACATCGACACCGTCTGTTCCGCTTCCTCCGGGTCAATTTGCGGCGGTGAATGCGTCATTGTCTTCATCGACACCGTCTGTTCCGCTTCCTCCGGGTCAATACACGGCGGTGAATGCACAATTGTCTACATCGACACCGTTTGTTCCCCTTCCCCCGGGTCAATATACGACGGCAAATGCTCCACCGCCTCCACCAACTGCTGGGGCTCCTCCTCCACCTCCACCGCCTAAAAAAGGACCTGCTCCGCCACCACCTCCACCTCCACCATCTGCTGGGGCTCCACCTCCACCTCCACCACCTAAGAAAGGACCAGCGCCGCCACCACCTCCTCCACCAGGTAAGAAGGGAGCTGGACCACCACCACCGCCTCCAATGTCGAAGACTGGGCCACCTAAACCACCGGGTAATCCAAAAGCACCGACGAAGTCAGGTGAGGTTTCATTGGCCGTAGGCAAAACTGAGGATCCGGCTCAGCCGAAGCTCAAGCCTTTGCATTGGGATAAAGTTAACCCTGATGCAAGCCGTTCAACAGTGTGGCATCGGATGGATGGTGGCTCTTTCAAGTAAGTATATTGTTACAGTCACTGAAGTGTATATATCTAGAATGTGAAATTAGGATTCGAAGTTCTTATGAGTTTATATTTGTTTCTTGGGTAGCTTTGATGGTGATCTCATGGAGGCACTGTTTGGATATGTTGGTGCTCGAAAACCGAGTGAAGCAAGCAGTGTACCTCAGAATCCCACTGTGTCGACTACGCAGACTTACATTCTTGATCCTAGGAAATCTCAGAACAAAGCAATTGTGCTTAAATCTTTGGGGATGACTAAAGAGGAGATCATTGACTTGTTAACAGAAGGCCATGAAGCTGAGTCTGATACCCTTGAGAAACTTGCAGGAATAGCACCAACTCCAGAAGAACAGACAGAGATACTAGAGTTCAGTGGTGACCCGACGAAACTAGCTGATGCAGAATCTCTACTGTTTCACATCTTGAAAGCAGTTCCATCTGCGTTTAACCGGTTCAATGTCATGCTTTTCAAGATTAACTATGGCTCAGAGGTTGCTCAACAAAAAGGATCTTTACAGACACTTGAATCTGCATGCAATGAGCTTCGTGCTCGAGGGCTGTTCATGAAGCTGCTAGAAGCAATTTTGAAAGCAGGTAACAGAATGAACGCTGGAACTGCTAGAGGAAATGCACAGGCTTTCAATCTGACAGCTTTAAGAAAATTGTCTGATGTGAAGAGTGTTGATGGGAAAACTACTTTGCTTCACTTTGTTGTTGAAGAAGTTGTAAGGTCTGAGGGAAAGCGGGCTGCGATGAATAAGAACATGTTCCCAAATGATAATGCTAGTGGTGAGAATGCAGATGTATCTAGAGACGAATTAGAGATTGAGTTTATAAAGCTGGGTTTACCCATTATAGGTGGCCTAAGTTCAGAGTTCACCAATGTGAAGAAAGCGGCTGGAATCGATTATGACTCATTTGTAGCCACGACCTTAGCTTTAGGCACCCGAGTGAAAGAAACAAAACGCCTTTTAGACCAAAGCAAAGGGAAGGAAGATGGGTGTTTGACAAAGCTGAGATCTTTCTTTGAATCTGCAGAGGAGGAAATGACAGTTATGACAGAGGAACAGCTCAGGATAATGGAGTTAGTGAAGAAAACCACAAACTATTACCAAGCTGGAGCATTGAAAGAGAGGAACCTGTTTCAGCTGTTTGTTATAATCCGTGATTTCTTAGGGATGGTCGATAATGCCTGTAGTCAGATCGCCAGGAATCAACGGAAACCACAACAAATACCTGCAACAACAGTAGCAGGAGCAGGAGCAGGAGCATCAAGTTCAACAGCAGAAACAACAAGCGTTGCAGCTGCACCGCAAAGGAATGCGGTTAGATTTCCAATTCTGCCTCCAAATTTCATGTCAGAGAGTTCAAGGTACAGTTCAAGTGAGTCAGACTCAGATTCTTGATAACCAAAAACCGAAAAAAGTTCATATTCACTTTTGTTATTATGTATATAGATGTTAGGGGGAGCTTGTTGGTAAAAAATTCGTTAGGTTCTTTGATGCTGTTTCTTTGTTGAATTTGTTGTTGATTGGGTCCAAAGTTGATTCTTTTTGGAAGGCGAAGATTACAAACAGAAGAAAACCATTACCAAATTGGTCTTTGTTTGTAATTCGTTTTGTTATATTTTTTTCGGTGTGCAGCATATAATAACATCAAATCAAGTGTTTGAATATCAAACACGAGACTTCATTAAAGCAGTCGCAAATTGTAGATACAACGACAAAAGCCTCACAAGAATAACATGTTTCTCGGTCTGTATAAAGAAAGATACAGAGAGATTAAAACTAAGGAGAGTGGGAGAGAGATAGAGATTAGAGAGAGTATACAAATCAAAAGCCTCTTTTATTCATAGCTTCCTATCAACCAACCATGTCGTAACAAGTGGTAGTTTAATGGAGAACAATAGCTTCATGGAAGTGCAGCTTTAACTTCTTTTCTGTCTGGTCCAAATGACTGGCCAACAGAAGCAAGAAAAGAAAGGGTCAATAAGGAAAATTAACTTTAGTTTAAGGGTCGTGCAAAAATGCAAATGGCAGAATATGTAATTAGTTAATTTACCTCGGTACCAAATCCCTTTACATAGACATTGGTAAAAAGTTCGGAAGGCTCTGGCATTGGGCAATCCTGAAACGGAACAGAGTTTTCGAGGGCTTAGCTTTAAAAGTTGAATTCCCGAGTCGAAGAGAGAAAGCAATGTGATAGTTATTTTACCTTAGCTTTGGCAATGGCGTCATCTACTTCTTTTCTAATTTCCTTCTCCATATCCTTAAGCTCTTTCTCGGTTGCTAGGTCATGAGATAGTACCAGCTTTTTTATTCTCTCAATTGGATCACGTTCCTGAGTCACACACAGAATGTTTTGAGGTTCACACTAACCTGAGTCCTCAACCAATAATTTATTTTGTGCAAGTAAAGTGACTAACCAACCTGCCTCACACCAGATATCTCATCTCGTGTACGGTATGTGCTCCCAGGGTCAGACATGGAGTGACCGTGGTACCTGTATGTGTCCATCTCAAGAATCTGTATAGAGGAAATGATGAATCAATTCTTATGTAATCTTATATGATAGCAGAAGATGAAACATACACCAGAAAGGTTTGAAAACCGAAGCTACTTCTACTTCATATGAGGAACTGTGATATCAAAAACAAAGTTCTTTGATGTACACTAGTAGAGCATAATTTCTATAGCGGATAAAAACTAAGAATGCTACCAAAAACAAATCAGTCACCCCATCAAATATTCAGCTATTGGAATTCAGCTCCAGTTCACAAAGAGCAAATGAAGGGAAGTAAATTTCAAGTAGGAAATGAAAAAAGTACGAAAAACACTTCATCCTATGATGCCAAGTCCTAGGGGATAGCTAGATATTGATTAAAGTAAATTAAAAATGTGCCAGATGACAAAAGGAAAAAGAACAGAATATGTGAGAATACTAAAATGCAGATAAACTTACTATCGGTCCCTTCTCCAAGGCATGATCCTTAGCAAATTTGCAAGCTTGTTTGACAGCAAATGCATCCATACCATCTACCTGTTCATCCCAAAAATTTCATCCAATCCAGCAAAAACTCAAAAAGTAAGTTGCAAAACTGATGCAGATTACAAAATACCCCAACAAAACAATGTAATGATGCACCATAGCTCTGTTAATGATAGATGACTCATGACATCATTATACATGAGAGATTTGCATTTCATACGTAAACTAGAAAGATTATGAAAGAGAACTTGCAGATACCAGTTTCTATATGGAAACTAAGTAATGTATATGGTTCAAAAAATGACACTAATCCATCTGCTAACAGATAAATAGCCAACCAAAACTTCTCCTCTCTCATCTTAACAAGTCTCAGATCAATCTTTGTTACAAAAAAGATTAAAAAATCTGACCTTGAGTCCAGGAACATAATCACCACGCTTGTAGTAAGATGGACTCTTAGCAGCTCTCCATTCAGCAGTTCCCATTCCATCTAGACAGATCAAAATTCAATCCAATCACATACTATACCATTAGAAACCTACAAAGAAAGAAGACGCAAAAAATGCTTACAGTGATTGTTCTCGCAGACAAGAATGGCAGGTAAATCCCAAAGAGCAGATATATTCAAAGCTTCAAACAACTGTCCTTGATTCGCAGCACCATCACCATACATAGCAAACGTCACAGCCTCTTCCTTATTATACTTCTGAGCAAAAGCAATACCACAACCTAATGGAACCTGAGCACCGACAATCCCATGACCACCATAAAACGAAGATTCCTTCTTATAGAAATGCATAGATCCACCTTTGCCTTTAGAACAACCAGCTTGTCTTCCCATAAGCTCTGAGAAAACCTCATGAAGCGAACCACCACGACCTAAGAAGATACAGTGATCACGATACGCAGTGATAATCGCATCTTTTTTCGTAATCGCAGCTTCCATGCCTATAGCTACAGCTTCTTGTCCATCGTAGAGATGGCAAAACCCTCGGATTAGCTTCGCTTTGTAAAGCGAATCGGCTGCAATTTCCATACGTCGCATCAACGCCATAGTTCTGAAGAAATCGAGAAGCTCTTGACTCGATGATTCGACGGAGCGTGACGGTGGATCACATAAGTGAGCTGTGAAAGGAAGCGAAGTCTCGATAGTGATCGGAGTTGTGTCCGTCGAGATTAATCGGCTGAAGGCGGCGGAGAAGGGACGAATGATACCATTGGATCGTGATGAGAGGCGTGATAGAGCCATTCTCCACCGTTGATTTTTTCTACGGCGAATCTGTTGAAATCTTCGCGCAGGAACAACACAAAATGAGAGACGACGATTTCAGTGAAGAAGAGAATAAAAAGCTAACAAAGCAGATAGATATGTGTATGCTACCAAACAAAAGACTCTGAAAGGATAAGAAGGTTCTCAACAAATTTCACTTTTAAGTGTGTTTTAATGCAGATTTCGGTTTAGTTAACCAAAATTAAATGTGGCTGGTATGTTAATTCGGTTTGTTGAATGAATGAAGAAATGACAGAATTCTTTTCTTGTTTTATGGATGACAACTCAAAAGAGACAATCTGTTGATCTTACATGGCAAAAACAAAAACCGCGAATCCTTGCATATTTCGCAAGATAGCCAGCTCGGGTATATTTACCGTTGCGAAGGACAAACTTGATATAAAAGTAACAAACGATCCCTATAAAATTCAAAATCTTTCGTTTTGGTTGAGAAATTGAAGATAGTTGTTATAAAATTGATAGAACCTAAAATGGATGAGAAAATAGGCCAATCCATCAGATTTTTTTTTTTTTTTATATAAATTCTATCGGCTGATCCGGTCAGTCCCGGTAGAAACACATCGGAGTGGACAACTCTCTGAAGGGCCACCACACTGTCTATTCCGAGTTTGGAATGCTTTCCGACTAATGTCAGAAAGTAGTCAGACCGCCTGCATTTCTGACTAACAGGTAAACCAACTATGCCTTCGCCCAATTGACAGACTTCCCACCACGGCTGTGTGGGCCAATCCATCGAATTAGAAATCATAGCGATAAGATCTGAACAATCCGTCATGTTTAACACGTCGAAATCTCCAATAAACACTCGATAGCCCTATAGAAGGATCCGGAGTTCAGCATGTAACAGATAAAGACATCGAGATAATAGCCAAAAAATGACAGAGAAGACTTTATAAAAGAAATAGAAACATTACATTAGAAATAATATCCAATATTTGTTGAATGAATGAATTAAAAAAAGTCAATTTAGCATCTCGTCCTTAGATATATATTCTAACACTATACACCAAAAACTGGCGGCTCCAGTCTCCAGACGTGATTTAGAGAAAAGAAAAACCAAAAAACTATGGTTGCCAATGTGAATCTCTTCTCTGCCCCAAATGATGCAAGAATCGTCGTCAAACACAGTTGGTCTCTACTCTCTAGTCTCTACCACTACTGATGCTTGCATGTCTCAGCCAAGAACTTCACACCTGCGCAAATATACTAGCTACATCCATTTACTTTTTATCGCAAAATAAGCGATTACTGAGGATCTGCGACATTGGTCACTAGGCATATAATAAGTTAATCTGCGAGGATTGAATCATGATTAAAGCAAGAAGAGGGTTACTTACGATCTAGATTAAGGCAAGGCAACAAGTCTTTGGTTAAGAATGGTGTGAAAGCGTGATATTCTTTTCTTTCTCGAGGTTTCACTGCTACCAGAAGTTTTATTAGTGCTGTCAGGCCCAGTTGGATTCAGTGTTGCTTTCTTCTGCTTTCTTCTATACAAAAGATCTGCTGTGTTTGGTTCATACTTGACCTAATGAAAAACGTAAACTCTCATTAATTGTATACACATGGAAAAGAGAAAAGATTATTGATGATATAGATTCATGAGACAGTATGTTACCTTGGAAGAACTGCAAGCAATCTTACATTCAACCTCGTTAATAATTCTCAGCCCTCCCATGGCACCCGACAACCCTGATTCATCCAGATCGCTTAATTTCGCCTTGTTCCTGGAAAGAGTATGATAAGATGATTACTAATTATACTTGCACAACTGAAAACGAAAATAGTTATGCTCTTATCATTGCTTCATTCACCTCTTCAAAAATAGTCCGGGTTTCTCTTCATCACGGACAAACGAAAGAAAGTCATTCTGCAGATAATTAGCAAAACCTGGTTCCACTGTTACAGCTGTAACTTCAGGCTGATCATTCCCGTTGTTCATAAGTTGTATCGAGAGACGGGTTTGCGCAGATGACTGCACAAAATTTTGTAAGGACAGATTAGTATGTGAGAACATATACACAAATGTCCACACATGTGAAGAGAGGCATACATATTCAATCCGGTATATGTTCTGATCATGGAGAAGGGCTCGAGCATTTTCATGGTACACTATATCAAAGAATCTTCCTGGTTTTCTGTAGTTCTCGTATGCATACAGTTGCAGAAGCTTGGTGTCTGTCTCATCAGCTGCGACTGCGTGAAGCTAATTCATGCCCAAGCCACTTCAATGATTAGTGCAGAACAAAAACAAAGGAGAGGAACAGAAGCAGAGTCAAGGCAATAACAACAAGTTGCAGGTAAAATGGAAGCTTACATGCTTAACAAACTTTTGAACTAGCTTGTCCAATGTGAAGAGAACATATGACTGTGCTCCAATGATAGCACGGCATTCATCTTCAAACTTTGTATTGTCACTTGAGCCGTCAAGTAAATTATAAAGGGCATCCATGAACCTATCTTCCGTATATCAGTTAGAAAATTACATTTTTCTCAATAAAAAATTACCAATAATGCTTACAAAATAAACCACCTGGTATATGAATCAGTAGATGTGTTATCTGGAGCTTTCCATTTCCTCTCTGAATGTATCTTTGCTGATTGTATTCTCTCGTACAACATCTGGAAAAACAGCAGAATTAGCGGTTTGAACTGAAGACTATTGACATGTGAGGAACATGAGATGGTTGTTCGAAGCCCTCACTTGATGAAGCCTAAAAAGCACATAAAATGAATCATTCCCATAGAAAACTCGAGAACCATTCCGGGAGTCGCATTCACTTGCTTGCAGTGTTCCAGGCACATGCTTTGCAAGGGGCTTTACAGGTTGCAGATAACGTTCTGAAAACGTTAAAAACGATCCATCTTCACCCTCGTTGGAATTAACCATCTCTCCAGCCTCATTTTCACTCTCCGCCACACTATCATGCTGGTCACAGTTCATGGCTCCTTTATGCTCTTCATCGGAAGAAACTTGGCCACCAAACTTGCTTGCTGAGACATTAATTTTAGAGTCGTCCCCTTCTGACAGCTTTTGAGTAATTTTTTTTTCATCATCTTCAGGGAGGGCATTGCTCCTTGCTCCAGCTTCAGTACCACAGGTACCCTCTTTTTGTTCTTGGTCTTTATTACTTCTTTCATTGTCTGGCAGTTTCTCGACAGGCTCGACGAGGCCGTTCTCTTTATAAACCTCAAAATTGTCTTGCTCGAAACTTTCTGTAGGAGACAATTCACCCTCTTCTCGCTCAACCTTATGCCCTCCCATTGATACATCACTAGCCTTATTACGATTCTCTACATCCTCCATTATCAAGTCAGCTCTGGGTGACACCAGTTTGGAAGGCTGGCTATCCTGTATAGCCACCAAAAAAAAAATCAGGGAGCTATCTTTTTTCACACATAGAGGAATGTTTCACAAGTATCATCATGAAATAAACGTAAGCAACATTCATTATTAAAAACACTCTACCACCAACAGCCAAAAGTTATGAGAAGGTTTGACTATATTTACTCCATGAAAAGTGAATACGGCTTCAGGTCAAGATTAAAGGTATTAAAATGAAGAAACAACACGGCTACCTCATTCGTTATAGCTGCACCATCATGCAGTTTCTCTTGCTGAATGATTTCGTGTGTATTGACTGGGAAATCTTGGACACAAGAGATTCCTTGTACTTTTGGGTTTTCTTTCTGAGGCGTTTTTGGAGCTATTAAAGGTTTAAGGTTTGAGGCCAGAGAACCGTCACATGTGTTCTCCCTCACAGCCTCACATGCATCATGGGGACCTTGGTTGTCTTCAATCTTTGCAACATCTTTCATTGTCTCATTAGTTTGAGACCTAGAAGGAACGCCAAACATGGGCTCCAAAAAGGTTACCCATAGCTTCATGACTTTATCCGACTGTTCAGTAGCACATATTTCTTCACAGTAATACTTAATTAGTTGATATAGGTCAGAATGAACTTGTGTATCAGTATAACTGAACTCCACATCTGGGGTGAAAGTGGGCTTAATTCCAACAGCAATGGCACGAAGCAGGTCTTCTTTATGCTTTCTCTCACTGATATCTTTAATTTCCGCCACTAAGCCTGCATTTGAGACATAACAACCAACTTTATTTGATACAAAGTTGCACTTAAATGATACACAACATTCACTTCGTTTCATCATTTTTTTTCCTTCAAACAGTCACAAGGCCATTATATTACGCACTTTCATATAGAGAAAGTAATTTCTAATATGTAATATCCATAAAATCTCCTATGTAGTCTCAAGTGCACCCAAACAAAAATGGTGTTTCAAAAAATCCTAAGTTAATCCAAACAAACTGAAATTGTAGTCCTGCAAGAAAACATACCTTTTGTACTCAAATTTTTGGAGTCCTGCTGCTTAAAATAGAAACTACGATGATCTAGTGATTTATGATGATTCTTCGCATACACTTCAGCCCATACTTTCCTGAAATCAGAGCGACACCTAGCCCATTCTTCTTGTTTCTGCTTCAAGCGTGTTAGTATCACTGGTAAGGCGATATGAGAATTCTTCTTCAAAAAATCCATGAGATCAAGCCCAAAATCCCCATACAACCGCTCAATGCATCTTAGGTTCAGCTCTATTAAATAGTCACATGTAAGGTCATTAGCCCGTGTAAAAGAAAAATAAACACATATATCACAGCCAAGATTCAATCAGATAACTACTTGCCTGATAAGTGTTCTTTAATACAGATTGGTGTCTCTATAGAGATTGTGTTGTTGTTGATCTTTTCCAGAAGAGTTTCCACACGCTTAATGGCTGCACTCACAGATTCTAGTAACATGTCCAACTCAAACCTGAAACCATATCAGTTAGTTAATAGATCAGATAGAAGTAGAATTTTAATGGGAATTATATTGTCAGCAAAGAAAAAACCCACAATATATCCCACACAAGTTTCAGAAAACTTAGTGAAATTAGAAGGTACGAGTGAACTGAATAGAAAAAAATCATGAACTCACCAATATTGTCGAAAGACTCCTAATCTAGATATAGAAAGAAATACAGGACCCTAATATACTAAATATGTCTTACCTATCATCCTCACATCGAAACAAGCTTTCTTCATACTGGTTTTTGCGCATGTGTTTGAATGAGTAATCCTCACTCCCCGATGTGACAGATACCCAATGATCATTAAGTACCTTTTCTCCAAGAGAATTTCTGTAGCTTGGAATCTGAATGGGATACTACACAGGAGAAAGCCAACCATATTAACATAGAGCACAAAATCAACGCTATACTGAACTATAGTATATAGTATTATTAAGTTTAAGAAGGACTCACATCATCTGGCAGGCGGCGGTAACTTGGTGAACATTGTGCGCAGTCAGTAAGGTCCAATTCATTTATTGCCTTGGCCATATGGTTGGTAGACAGTAATATTTTTTGACTTCCGATGTCTTTACCAAAAGCTGCAGCTCTATCATTTTCTGGTTCAAGACCCCCGTTATTTTCATAATTTTGCATCCCCTCGGTGTCCTCTGACTTCAGATATCCTGCAAGGGATTCTGCAAATATTAAACAGAGAAAAGACTGACAATGACCACAGTATAAAAGCTGACAATATGTCATGTCTATATATACTAATTTCCCTTTTATATCAAAATCACTGAATTATGGAAGTTCATATATATATAATTATCATGCTCTCAGCAGGCGCTGAGCATGATAATTAAATATGCAAATAATTAAAAATAAAAATGCAGCAGGTGATTCAAGTACTCACTTCCCAGAGAATTACCAGCAGAATAAGCCACAAGGTTCTCGTCACCATCTTCTCGTTGATCAGAGTGTTCAGTATACTCATCATGCCTACTCCGTAGTTTTATTTTCTGTGGCAGGAAAGACTCCATATCAACATTTCACTAAGACTCTGAAGCATCAAGTTTCTCAAACAATATATTCTCTCATCTATTTGCGGTAAGCTGTGTCTTAATTACTATATTTCTCTTGCTCTTAATTTATCACTCTTAGCATGTTAATACAGGCTTTCTACCACGAACATCAATTATAAACATTATTAACTGCTGTGAAAGATATGACCATCATTAAGAAAGAAAAGAGAAAAACCTTATCAAGATGCTTCGGATGCATGGCTGAAAATGGAGAATTCCTGTCATGTGGTACTGTAATCCTTCCGAGAAGAGGGTTATTAACAGAAGCTGATCCTGGAAAGTCAGGTAAGAAATGAACAAACTCCCCAAGCAGATCTTCATGGTCTTGGAACAACAGAGTAACCTGTAATATAGATGATAATCAGAAAAAACAATCACAAGAAATTTGGCTATATAAAAGAAAAAAGTGTGACGCAGAAACATAGAGAAAATCAACATTATGCACATTTACTGTTAATATACCTCTTGATAGACCTCATTGATAGACTTGCTATCCTTTCTATACATGTTCAAGATGTCTAGGAATTTTTTATATGCACGGTCATCACCCCCAAATCTTGCCTGGAGGAATAAATATCCAGTGATGTTAACTGTTAAAATCATGACTAAATTGATATCTACATCAGATACATACCTTGATCTTGTTGACAAATTCAATAGCCACTTGGAAATCTACTGGTTTCTTAGGTCTCTCATCCTCGGGCTGAAGAGTTATTTTGTACCCCTTTGGCAAAAAGGTATTAAAACCCAAAAGCAAATTATCACATCCTTTGAACAAATCTTTAACTCTTGCTATAACGCCATTAGTGTCAACCCTGCACCAACACGAGACACAAAGAAATTAAAACATTTTCAGCTGTGAGAAGAAACACCGATCACGGAAGAGAGAGGAAGGCAATTTTACCTCTGAGCTTTGAAGTCCTTCATGACTCCAAGGAAAGTTTCATATTTCTCTTTGTTGTCTTGAAACATGTCCTTGACAGCTTTGAGATATGTCAAAGCATCACCTGTTGTTAGCCCTCCCATAGTTCCTCCTCCACCAATCGTTAAAGGCCTACCATTTCTGCAGTACACAAACATATATTAGAAACTCAACTCAAACTTAGAAAAAAAACAGCATTTAAAACTGCAGTAATTTTGCTTAAGCCTATAAGGTAAACTACCCCAGGAACAACCATACACCTCAAAGATAAAAAAAGACTCAACTCAACCTAGGAAACAAACCAAAGCACGAGAATTCAAATCCCCACAAGCAAAAAGAGACCAACCATAAGAACATCAACCTACACAATTTTGACTTCCGTACAAAAAAGGCATAGTCAAAAAGAGAATTTGAAATCAAAACAAAATTGGAATTAACAGAGAGAGAGAGAGACAAAGAGAGAAAGCTAACGTTTCTCCTCGAGACGAAACAGTAGGACCTCGTATATGTGCTTCAACGTAAACCTCTTCTCTAACCCTCTTCATCTCTTTAACCTTCCCACACCAAATATGAATTTAACTTCAAAAAAGATTCAAGCTTTACACCAAACTCACTATCCTGAAAAAAAACACAAATCACAAAATTCAAAAAATTCCCACTTCTAAACAACACACAAAAACCAGATCTATCGCTTCAAATCAAAACCAAAATCAAAGGAGAAGGCAACAGTTAAAAAACCCAAAACTTTGATTTTATTATTCATTCAAACCTTATTACAGAAACCGGATCACATTCGTAAGAGCGAAAGAACCAAACTTGTTCGTCTCTTCCGAAGAAGAAGAAGATAATACCAACATATGAGAAAAGAGTGGATCGCCGCCGTGTGAGTTTGCGGAGAAAAGAGATACGAATCTTGACAGAGAAAACAAACCAAAAAGAAAAAAGATTGCTTCGAGTTTGGATCTCTCTCAATCTCTAATCACAATCTCTGGTTCAGAGAGATAAGAATAGTTTTCAAAAAAAAAGAGATTAGCCGTAAAAATCAAATCAAATTAAAAAAAAAAAAAAAGGCCAAATCTTTAGAGCAAACAGAGGGAAGAGAGCGAGAGAAGGAAGAGGAGCCTGTGAATATATAATTTGAGAGAAGTGTTTACTTATATAATCTTAAGTGTATATGTTTTTGTTAATAACATATCTTGGCATGTACTCATGCATTAATTTTTTTTAGTATAAGAAACTTTTTTGGATTATGTATTATTTGATTAATAAGTGGATTAGTTACAAAATGGATTTCCCCTAATTTTCTACGGTCAAATTAGGGTATTAATCAAACACCTCACTTTTGGGGATAAAACTTTGTGAGATTTCTTACCATTTTATGCCATTTTACACGAAAAGAATAATATTTTTTTTCCTATTTATAGTAGATTATGTTTTTATAGTTTTCAAAGTTTTAAAGGTTTTTTTTTCCTTAGAAAATAATGACTTAGCTATTATGATTATTGTTGATTATTAAATAATTTGTTGGTTCTTTCTTCTTTGATTTGGGTTTAACAAGGATCTTAACAAATATAAAAACATTAAAATTTTACAATAATTTTCGAGAGATATGTATCAGCAACCAGGGTTTTATCTGCATGAATTTTTTTTGTTGTACACAGTTTTGTATAAATCAGTTTAATTCAATAGTGGGAGTATCATATTAGTAAAATTTAATCCATATTGAAAATTCAAATTAATGATAGTTTAATATTTTTTTAATATCGAGTCGAACCCATCCTACCATATACTCGTCATGTAATATAATCCATCTAATATTATTTTTAATTCTATTCATGATATTTTATTTTTTATTAATCTATAATCTATAATATTTTAAACATTCTAAAATTTTAAAATATATTACATATGATAAAACTTAACATTCAACTAAAACCCCGGATTAAACCGTACAGAAACTTTTAAATTTAGATGCTTATTTAGTTAAGTTTACTGCTCTTTCAGATTTGAAATTATTTGATCTTATTTATAATATAACTTTGAGTCATTATATAAGCAGTTTACCCGACATGGAATGTTGAACATATTTCTATTAATTGAGTAATATATGTATGTTATAAAAAGTTATGAATCACAAAATACGCATTAAAATAGAATTTTATTAATTTTATATGATGATTTAAAACAATTAAAAAGATCAAACAAAGATGAGAGAAGAATAATAATATTTTTAATCTTAACAAAAAAAATTAGATATCTATATTATTAATTGAGAAATATTATATGAATATTTCTAATTTTATAATAATGTTTAAATGATATAATTATGTTTTTTATATGAATAGTCGCAAGAATTCATTGCAAAATTGGTTGAAGTATTTGAAAATAGTAATGACGTTCTTTATAATTAAGTATTAAAACAAGCGTTACTTTTTCGAATGTAATTTAAAAATGTTAATATAGATATGATGTATAACGTTCTTCAACCCATTTTTTAAGACCATTGTTTTTTAATCACAATCTCTCGCTCAGAGATACGAAGAGTTTTCAAAAAAAGAGATTAGCCGTAAAAATCAAATCAAATTAAAAAAAAAAAGGTCAAAGCTTTAGAGAGCAAACAGAGGGAAGAGAGCGCGAGAAGGAAGAGGAGCATGTGAATATATAAATATGAGAGAAGTGTTTACTTATATAATCTCATTTTAATTTTATATGATGATTTAAAACAATTAAAAAGATCAAACAAAGATGAGAGAAGAATAATAATTTTAAATCTTAACAAAAAAAATTAGATATCTATATTATTAATTGTGAAATATTATATGAATATTTCTAATTTTATAATAATGTTTAAATGATAAAATTATGTTTAGTCGCGAGAATTCATTGCAAAATTGGTTGAAATATTTGAAAATAGTAATGACATTCTTTATAATTATGTATTAAAATAAGCGTTACTTTTTCGAATGTAATTTAAAAATGTTAATATAGATATGATGTATAGCGTTCTTCAACCCATTTTTTTTAAGACCATTGTTTTTTATCAAAGATCGAACTCGAGATATCAACATCATTTTATACCTGCTTACCACTAAACTAATAGAACTTTTACATAAACAAAAACCGATAAAAGACATATATATTTTTGGATCGTAAGCACATACTCAATGTTGTGATCGACTTAAATAAAAGTTTTGGTCTTATGTTTGGTCGGTTTGGATATGTACATTCAGTTATTTGATATACAAAATGGATTATGAGTTGGAGGTTGAACTAAATACTCTCTCATATATTTTTAACGAAAAGAAATCATATTTTTAGTATCTTTCATATATAAATGGATTTTAAAAAGAAGATGAGCGAACAAAGAAAAACAAACATTAATTTATCATCAATAAAACCAACTCTTTTTATCCAAAACATTCAAAACAAAATAGTCTTTTGTTTTTAGTTTATGCTTAGCTGCTATTATATTTTTGTATTTTCTATAAAAAAATATTACTCGCATATTGGTGTGTAGTTGGTAAATTAATAATGTTTTAATTTCCTTTCAATATCTAGAGTTGAATTAGCAACTTATATTGTTTTGTGATTTTTTTAAAAAAAAATTATGTTTTTTCTTATAGCTTGCTTAGCATTTTCTTTAGTTTTCTATTTTTTTTTGGGGTCAAATTGTTTTGTTTTGTTTACTTTTATGTGCTATATCTACCTTAGAATTGAAGTAGTTATTAACATGATTCCTTCCTTAATGTTTATATTCAGTTTCTAGATAAGAACATATATATTATTTTTTTTTGAACAAGAAGAACATATATTCTAGCAATCTTTTTTCATCCATCGCTAACAATATGTACCTTCGATAAACATAACACTTAGTCACCTAAACAACATATAATTAACATTTATGCAGCCATAATATCAGGTGAAGAAACAATTTTGGTGCGGAATTCCCAATTCTTAATTCAATAACCAAATCTACTAATAACTAATTATGATCTTGTAAAAACATTTACAATTTCAGGAGATGAAAAAACTAATTAATTCATTGATGTATGGTTTGATTCCAGTCTTTATATATATGTAGCGAGCGACTTAAAAAAGTAAATAATCTCTTGGATGTTGGATAAGATGAATTAATTTATATTTTGTTAAAGTCTCATGAGTGTCTCTACAAGTAAATTTTGGGTAACTAAACTAAGTCATATCTTATACATATGTGTGTGTTTTTATTGTTAAGAACAAGTAATACATATTTAACACAATAACACACTAACATAGTTACTAGACTATATTAGGTTTGGTCAATAGAGACTCAGACTCTGCTAGTCATTTTCATGCCATATTGTTTTGGTACTTCTCCTTGGTAAAAGTTATTTGGTAAAAAATCATTGATAATGTCTTTTTAATTAAATATATTTATTGAGTCACATATATCAATAAGGGCGTTTGGTCTAGTGGTATGATTCTCGCTTAGGGTGCGAGAGGTCCCGAGTTCAATTCTCGGAACGCCCCCACTTATATTTTTATTTTCATAAAATTCATAATGGGCCAGATTTCACTTAAGGCCCAGTAAGGAGAGAGGCCCATCAGGTTACGTATCAGCTATCTCATGTACATACGTAACCATACGTTTGGCAGTAATCAAAAGATGATGATCTCATTAAGAACTTTCAACTAATTAGTTTCCAAAGGTTCAACTAACCTCCTTTGATTTTGACTTTGATCATGACTGTAATCTGATAAGTATCCAAAATTTCACATCGAAAAAGACAATTCATAAATCATAACGAAACAAAAGAGGAGTCTGATTTGATGATTTGTTTGTCTTCTTACTCTTATTGGTCGTATCGTAAAGAACAATTATTCTCAAGAAACAAAAAATGAAGTATATTTATATCAAAACAATACAAAATAAGTGGGAATTATTTTACATCTGATTTGATTCGTCGTCATCTACAAATAATAAAAATAGTTATAAAAAAGAAATCCACTACAATACATATTTTAGAACAGAGATTTATGTGTAGTAGAATAAAGAGACTCTTGAGATGGTTTTATCTGGTCTGGAAGTTGAGAGTTCTGATGCAGAATGCGAAGATGAAGGCGAAGAAGACTGTGAAAGCAACGAGGACGGCAGCTACTGGTCCCATAAAGTCAGATTGGAAACCATAATGGTCATCAATGTATTGCTTTACGGTAAGGCCAGGAGCACCTCCAAGAACTTGGATAGGTGTCTCAACGTCACCGTACTGCGACACGATCAACCCGTAGACTGTCCATGCGACAGGGCAGATCCAGTAGTACCATACCCACCATTTTGGGATTTTGGGTCTTGGAATGAAGAAGCCAGAGAAGAGGTTGAAAATGCCGTAAAACGCTGAGGCGAAAATGGAAGCCACTTGTTGGTTTGGTGTGAGGGAAACTGTCATCATGCCGTAGTAAGTCCAGTAGAGGAATGAGAAGTAGCTAACGAAGAGGAACCAGAAGAACTTTGCGACTTTCCATTCGAAACCAACCATGGCGTAGACGATGACTGAGTAGTAAACGGTCTGAACTAGGACATAAGGAAGCTCACATGTGACTTGAGAGATGGCGTATGGCATGGCTGAGTACATTCCTGCTGCTCTTTCTCTGTAGAAGACAGTTCTCTCTACTGCAACCATAGGTTGTACAGTCGAACAATTGTTGATTCCCACGAAAATAACCGCGCCATACAGTGCTCCTATAACCATTGATAAGTCTCCTGCGGTATCTCTGTTACCTCCGATTTGCCAGAAGATGGTACCAATCAAGAGAGATGTTGCTAATGTGAAGATGAACCGGACAAGATTGTAGTCTGGAGATCTCCAATACGTCCACCATTGTTTCCATAGGCATGATTTGAACTGTCCCCATGTGTTTTGTGAGAATTGTGTAGCAAAGTAGAGATCTACTGCTCCTGTTGGTGGTACACTGAGTTCTTTCACCAACGCTTTGTTTCTCCTGCATTGTTATGTTTTCATTAGTACAATATTTCATCAATCAATCAGAGGCAATGAGCTTAGAAAAAGAAAAAACTTAAACTTACTGGTGTAAAGCGGAGTTCTTGTATAACTCAGCAAAGTCAACATTAAGCTTTAGCTCAGCTGCGAGTGAGCTGGCTTCAAGCATCCAAGTGGCTGGGTTATACTTTTCTGGAATCTTGGGAACTCCGGGAAAGGATTCGAAGTATTCCACAACCTTGTGGGAGTTACGACCCAATGGACCAGCGTAGATCACTTGTCCTCCTCTCTTCATCAGCATCAACTCATCAAACGCTTCAAAGATATCAATGCTAGGCTGATGGATGGTGCAGACCACGGTTCTTCCAGTGTCCACTGTGTTCCTCACCGCCCTCATCACAATAGCTGCTGCTCTAGCGTCTAGTCCAGAAGTTGGCTCATCCATGAAGATGATGGAAGGGTTGGCTACGAGCTCCACTGCAATTGTCAGTCTCTTTCTCTGCTCCGTGGAAAGCCCTGTGACACCCGGTAAACCAACAATGGCATCCCTAAGACTGTCCAGCTCTACCAATTCTATCACTTGATCCACAAACATCATCTTTTCCTCTTTGCCAACTTCTTTAGGAAGACGAAGGAAAGCAGAGAAAATCAAAGATTCTCTGACCGTGACTTGCGGGGAATGGATATCAGTCTGCTCACAGTATCCTGAGATTCTAGCAAATGTCTCTTGAACCTTTGGGAATCCTGATATTCTCACATCTCCTTCGATGTATCCGCCAGTTTTCCTTCCGGCCAAAACGTCCATAAGTGTAGTCTTACCAGCACCACTCACTCCCATAAGCGCAGTCAGGACTCCTGGTCTAAATGCACCAGTAACACCTTTAAGCAGTTGCAGTCTTGTTTCTGTTACTCCTTGGTCCCTCATTTCCTGTACCATCAAAAACATATATATTTAGTTCATGTACTTTTCATTTGGTTTGGTGTGAAGATTCAAGTGAAGGATGGTTACTTACCGCAGGCATGTCGACAAAGTATCTGACATCGTCAAAGGACATAGCCAAAGGCGTGAAAGGAAGAACCATTCCTTTCGTATTGCCTGCACCCCTGGATGCTTCAGCCGCAGAGTCCCTACTCACTCTCCCCATTGCGACCTCTCCTCCTGATAACCAAGAACAGAATGAGACAAAAGAGTAAAAGAAGAAACGGAAACATCTAAGCAGAGTAAGAAATGCACTTACTTCTGTTCCCATCTGCAGTAGACAAAGATCTGCGCATTGGATCTTTCCTCTGATCCGCGTCTTCATTTTCTTCCTCTGGAAGTAAAGCTGCCTTCTTCCCAAGAGCTGCAGTTTTCAAGGAACATTATTAATATTCTGTTGTTTTAGCTTTGGTGAAACAAGCGATGCAGTACGAGAAACTTACGGTTGAGAACAGTAAGTGCAATGGTGAAAAGAATGTTGAAGAGGACTGTGAAACCAAGCAGGGCTCCAACTGAAATCCAGTACCAGTTCTTTTGATTGTAGACATCCCAATTCTTAAGCACCATGGTTCCAAGCCTTGTTCTGTTGTCAGAAGCCTGCAGTTTCCAAAAAGAGTGAGACTCAGAGCTGTGATATATCACTGTAAAATGCAGAATAAAGCAGTAAGTACACTCACCAATTTGTCCATCCATCTAGAGTCAAACATTTCGTTGACGGTTAAACCGTTGAAAGCATAGGTAAGAGGAGATATCCAGTAAGCCCAGCCCCACCAGTCAGGAATCTCGCCTTTCGGAATAAGGAAGCCTCCAAGCAAGAACACGAGAAGTAGAGTAAGAGCACCACCAGTATTAGCAATCATCATGGTTCTGCAAATAGAAGCAATCAACCTAAAGAGGGATGCAGCCATTTGTTGAATCAGAAACACCAGGAGAAACTGCTTGAAGAAGCGGCTCGCATCAGGTGCAAAACCGATGGAGTAATAAGTCACCACCATCCATGCCGTTGATTCGAAGATTGAGGTTGGAATCCCGAGCAAGAAAGTGGGAAGTGTGAAGGTCCAGGATGGATAAAACAGGAGATCTCTCTGTTTGTAGAACACCGGAAGTCTCGAAACCATCATAGCCATCTCTGCAAACCCATTAAACATGTTGATGATCATCCCAAACAGCAGTGCTCCTATGTAGATGTTAGCATCAGCCTCGTTCTTTGTATCCATTTCAGTTCTGAGGAAGAGTGTAGACGTGATTGCAGCGATGATGATGATCTGAACAGTCTTGAAAATGTAAAAGAATGAGTTTCTCTGCATAAGAAGCCACTCTTTATCCCAACAACTCTTGAGAAGCTCCCTCTTTGAGACAGAGTACTTATCGAACACAAGAGCTGCTTTGTGGCCGCGAGTCTTATCGAATGGTACTGCAAGTTGGTTAGAAATATGTGTTCCAACGTGGAAACTCTTGTATCTGCTGGCAAACTCTGAAACCGGAATGTAGCGGTAAGGTCTGTTCGGGTCCACCCAGTACTGTTCTTGATCTTTCTTGGAAGTAACCTCTTGCAAGAAATCAGCTGTTCCTTTCCTCTCAGGACACTTGAACCCAAAGCTCTCAAAGAACTCAAGAATGTTGTCTCTTGGTCCTTGGTACACGATCTGACCTTCCGACAACAAGATGATATCGTCGAATAAATCAAAGGTCTCAGGAGCAGGCTGGAGGAGTGACATGAGCACCGTAGCGTCTGTGAGATGAACGATCTGTTGCAGACACTTGACGATTTGGAATGTGGTGGAACTGTCAAGACCAGTGGATATTTCGTCCATGAAGAGTGTCTTCGTAGGACCAACAATCATCTCACCAGTTGTGACACGTTTCTTCTGACCTCCAGAGATACCTCTCATCATGTCATCTCCAACTATGGTGTCTTTGCAAATGTCAAGCCCCAAAATCTGTTTCACCGAACAGAGTCAGTATTACACACACACAAAAAAACAAAGTCTAAAATAGTGAAACCAAACAATCTTTAAAAAAATTATAAATGGTTTAGTTCGGTTCGATTTTTAGGTTGCCGTTTTTTTTTTTTTATGGTGAGCTAAGCGATAAGAAGAGACGTAAGACTCACCTTGAGAGTATAATCAGTGACGAGACTGCTCTTAACTCCTTGAGCAGCTGAAGCTTTCATGAAGAGATCAACATCAGCTTCAGGGAATATCCCAGCATCCTTTTCTCTTCTTGCAAGCTCGTTCAACAGATCTACAAGAAGGATCAAATCATTCAACAAAACAGAATCTTGAAAAAAAATTGAATCTTTAGTTACTTTCAAGATTGAATATTCACTTACCATAACGAGTACCAACACCTTGGCACCTAGCAGAGAAATCAAGAGTCTCCTTAACAGTCATGATACCAACATGAAGATCGTTCTGGCTAATATAAGCAGAGGTCTTTCTTGGAACAAACTCATCGAGACGGTGACCGTTGTAAGTTATATCACCACTAACTTGAAGTTCTTTATCGAGTTTACCGGCTAAAGCCAAGAGAAGAGTGGTCTTACCAGAAGAAGGAGGACCCAACAAAAGTGTCATCTTTCCAGGTTTAAGGACACCAGAGATATCTTTAAGGATGGTAAGCTGAGCTTTCTTAGCAAACTGAATACCAATCATGCCTAGAGCTGATTCTCCCATGTTCCTCACCACATTAAGAAGCGTAGGAAGAGATCTATTACCAGTGTAACAATCAGCTTTGATCGTCAAATGCTCGTACCTGACCTCAACCGTAGGAAGCTTGATCCCAACTCTATCGATTCTGTTTCTTAGCTTCGTCAAGATCCTTTCATTATCTTGTTCAGCTACTTTGAAAACCATGTCAATAAACTTCTGACGATCTTCACCATCAAGCTTGGTCACGTCAACCTCTTTGCTCATAAGCTGATTACCGTAGACATCATCTTCGACAACTGCGTTCATGAGAGTTGTTCGGAGACGGCTGTAAGTTGGTAGTTTCTCAATGGCTGCCCATTTAAGAGCTTCTTCGTCGTCATTAACTGATTGAGTTCTTCTTGAACCAGCTGAGAAGATATCTTCAAGGTTTCTACTTGCTCTGCTTACACTCCTGCTTATACTTCTTCTCAAACTCCCACCACCTCCTAAAGGTGGTATATTTGGATTGTAATCCATCTCTCACCCAAAAAAAAAGTTTGTGTCTTTAGATTTTTCTCTGCAGAAAAGTTTGATTCTTTAAGATGTAAATTTTCTTGAGAGACAGAGAGAGAAGAGAGAAAGAGAGAGAGAGGCAAAGGACGAAGGATAAAGAATGAAGAGAAAGAAGTGGGATTAGAAAATGAATATATAGGGAGAGTAAGGAACATCAACGTGGACTTTTCTTCGCTATGGACTATTCTTTACTTTGTTGAATGAAATACTCGAAATCAAAGAAAGAAAGTACCAAAACAAAAAATCTTGTTTTTTTTTTTATAATAAAATCAGAGGAAATAGTAAAAAGTCGTGTTTTTTTTTTATATGCAATATGGGCTAATTTATTCAACTGCGACGGCTCTTTTATCTCCTACGAGTATTTAATTATATATTTGTATTACAAAGATCTGATTTTTTTTTTTTTTTTTTTGTGTAGATAATGGGATTGGGATGGCTCTTTTTAACGTTTGTTTTGTTTTTTTATTACCAAATATTAGGTAATAATTGAAAGCTTTGAACAGTTCAGATTCAAAGTCAATAAAGATGACCCCAGTTAGTTACCGCTACTAGATTAGTGGAGATGACATAGTTAAATTAAAAAGTCTTCATTTTTCTAATAACAAATTTAAGGAAGTGAGTGTATACAAAATTAGTTTTTTTAGTTGATTTATGTAAAATTTACAAGATTTATGTTATTTAATCATTGATTTTTAAAAATTTATTGTTATGGAACTTATAATTTAAAATCTACCTTAAAAGCTATTGTTATTGAAAACAGTTCATAAATTTGATTTTTAATAGTTTCAAGTTGCGAGGATTTTTTAGTTAAAAAAAATACAGAAATCTAATCTCATGATTTTATATTGAGATTTAAAATTTTTTTACAATATATCATCAAATGAAAACTCAAATTACTTAAAATCATAACTTTGAATATATTCCTTCTAAAAAGTCTTTATTGGGTTTTAAGTAATTGTGGTTTTTCTAATTTATTGGTGAGGCAAAAAAGACCGTTGTTTGTTTTTAAGTCATTGTGTTCTGGAAAGTGAGAAGCAATTACGGAGGAAGGTGTCATTCACACTCACGGTCAATTCACACTTCGTGTAGAAGAATAGAAACGGTTCGTTCAAGTTATTTTTGTGTTCTGGAAACATGAGAAGCTTATGTATGAAGAAGCCTTTTACGTACCGGTAGGGGAATTAAGTTATAGTGCTAGCTCCTCAACCTTCATCTGATAACAAGACTCCATTGACCTTTTTGGCTTCTTTCTCAGCTAATCTTATCTTGATTATTGCTTTGCAATTTGGTACTAACCACTCTTTAGTACAATACAGCCAGCTCCTTATCTCTGAGCTTCTCAGTTTCTTGAACAATGTTCCACAGGTTGGTTTCTCCTCTGTGCAAACAAACTCATTTTTCGATCACAATTCTTTAATGTTCTTGACATAGGTTGTCTCCTTCTTATGACTGCAGTTTATCAATCAAGCTTTCATTTACCTTTGCCAAGCTCATCGAGAGCAAAACCTGCCATTGCTCTGAGCTTTCTTTTTCAAAAGCAACCTTCTTTAGCTCGACTTCTTTGTCTGCCAAGCTTTCTTTTAAGTTTCATGTTTCCTGTTTTTGCTTCAACTCTGTCCTACAGATTCCACCATTTTCTCTTCAAGTTGCTTTGGTCCCTTAGGTTTCTTCTTTCTTCTTCTCTATTTCCTTATGGTTAAACCAAATTCACTGTCCCAAGGTCCCCATTAATTCACCAAACCATCAAACGAAGTTCTATCTGTTCACACTCAGTCTCGCAAAGTCAGAATTGACAAATGTATTTTGGTTGTTTTCTAATCTCAGTCTTCACACATTTTTAAATAGTTCCATCTGTATCTTTTGCGGCCAACTACCAACTTTCAATCAGGGCTCCACCATGTTGACATATTAAGAGCCTCTCCTTAGGTTACCTTGCTTCAAAAGCTACTAACCAGCAGATCCAAAATTAAGTTCCATTGCTTTGTTGTTTTTCTCTTCTTCTTCTTCTTACAGTTTTCCAACTCAGTTGCAAGTTCCATCTTTTCCTTCAATAGGTTCTGAAAAGGAGTGTTGCAATTTTATTACAGACCAAAGCTCTAACCTTTTCGTCTTGGGAGCTTTTCAAGGTCATATTTTATTGACACAGCATGCTATTCGAGCTATGAGTTTCTTCATTTAAAATACACACTTGGAGTGGTAGAGAGAACAACTGAGATGTCCAAGGCATGAGCCTTTTAACCGTAACCTCTTCCTTTCAAGAGTTTTTGTTTTTGTAAACAGCTCTAATTCCCACCTATTTTAATAACTTTCCCCAACACAATGCTAAGCTGCCAATGCCTGTCTTGGTTTCTCATTCACTTCCTTTCTGAATTTCTCAGCAGATCAAGAGTTCAGCTTTAACTTTCTGACGCACTGCTGCTTGCTCATTAGGTCCCCTCAAAAATTTCCTGAATCTGATTCAGTTGAGCATGTAGCTCAGATTCCTTCCTTAACCATGACTGCACTTTCTGAAATTATCAAATACAAATTGATGATAAAAAATATAGTATATACCCAAAGACCGTCAGATTTAGTTCATGTTGGTTTATTCACTCTCAAACGTGGACAAAGACAATTTGCCACAAAGAGTCTTCGTCAAACCAGTTCTGCATCAGAAAAGATAAACCACAATGTCACAGTCACAATCAATGAACAATTAACAAAACAAACAGACCATCATCTCTATTAAAATGAATCTTCGATTCCAACCCCATATACAAAGCTTATAACTCACAAAAGCTAAAACCACAATCCAAATTTCAAACACTTTAGCCGTGTTGTGAAACGAAACTCATCATTCGACTAAATAAAATATTCATCTCAATTTAGATGATAACTAGATCATTACATTAAACATAAGCATCATTGCATAGAACATTCACAGAAACATGTTATTTAGCATAGAACTATATTAAAAACAAAGAACCATATTCATCAGAGACACACACAAAGCAAAAAGACCCAGATGCTTCAGTTAAAGCTAAAATGGCTCAACCAGAGATATTAATAGACTTAACTTGAGCTTTCTTCTTCATCTCCACTTTCGGCAGAGTCACAGTCAAAACTCCATTCTCCATAGAAGCCTTAACTTGATCCATCTTCACATTCTCCGGCAACCTAAACATCCTCGAGAAACCACCACTCGATCTCTCCATACGGTGCCACGTGTCCTGCTTCTCCTCTTTCTCAACGCGCCTCTCGCCACTAATCTTAAGCACACTATCGTCTTCTATCTCCACTTTAACCTCCTCTTTCTTCATCCCCGGCAGATCCGCTTTAAACACGTGCGCCTCCGCCGTCTCTTTCCAGTCCACACGTGCGTTCGCTATAGCCGATGAAGAAGATGAAGACGGGAATGTAAACGGATGATCCCAAACGTCGAGTGAGAATGGATCGAAGAATTTGTTGTTTCCGAAGAACCTTGGAATGAGAGACATTTTCAATTGAGATAATTACGACGAATTCGAATTCGATTTCGATTTCTTGAGTAAAGCTGGTGAGTCAGATGATTCTATATATATATAAAGTGGTGAAGAAGAAATCTCCAGAGCTTCTAGAATTTTCTGATTCCTCCAAGTTCTTAAATCTTCTTCTTCACACTCGGAACGAAATATTTCAGAAGATAGGGAAAAAAAAAAGATGAAGAAGACGATGCAAATCCAGAAGATTCTAGAAGCGTTTCAAGTTTTTTTCGTTTCATGTGTTTTTGGGCCATAATGGGCTTCAAAGGCCCAATATTATGATTTGAGGTTTCTCGAAATAAAGTAAGTTTAAACAAATTGAACATGGTTCCCATAAACGTTGTGCGAGTTCTACGATTACATGCAGTCCTCTCTGATATGGAGAACTTTGTCAATTGGATTATAATTTACAGATACTAAAAATTAAGAACTTATCAATATGTACAATCTTCTGTTGAAAAGATTATGATTTGTTGATTTTTTTTGGTTATTAAATTTTAAAATTCATAACAGTGTATGTATATTATCTTAATATTGAGTAAAATAGAAAGAATAAAAAAAAAATAAAAAAAAAATAGAAAGAATAGTTCATTTCACGTTATGGTACGTGTTAAGAAGAAACCGTGTTTGCTTGACTTGCTCTCGTTAGCTTATGTGTAACATTGTTGGATATTTAGTTTCCTTTATAAATTAAAATCTAGCAGAATCTTTCATTCTTTTAAAAAATTTAAATAATTTGGTCGACAAAAAGAAGAAACTTTTAATATCAATTAATAGAAGTCTTCTTTATTTTCAAATTCAGAAATTAATTTTGTTTTAATGTTAACTTTAATTAATTTTATGTGTTTCAGTTTTGGGTTTTCACTATGATGTGGTTACCAATTTACTCAATTTGTATATACATATCATTCAACTTTGTTCTCTTTAATTCTTAGTTTCTTACGTTCAAAGCATTCATTTTCTAATTTCTTTCTCCAAGTTTGGATTTTCTTATATATGATGCCGAGAAAATAAACATTTTGTTAACCTCCTAGTTTTGATAAACAACATGCAAATTTTAGAGATAAAAAAATTTGCAATCAGATAATAAAATTGAAATTATCCTAAAACACAGTCATGAGTCTCTAATAAATGGCTTGAAAAAGTCCTAACATTTTCTCATTATCATAAAGGATTTACTTCGAAAAGTCCTTGCCCACGTTAGAATCTTCAATGGTATATTGAATCTATATTGACGTACCAATACGTTTAAAAAAACGAGATGCAAATAAAATATAAATTTGACATATTCGATGTTTAGAAAAATAAAATGTCGTATTCAATGTTTTATTTTCGTTAAACTGAGAGTAAAACAACAAAAAAAACTTTGGGATGTAAATTAAAAGTAAATGTAAATTCTGTGGCAGGTGGTGAAATATTGACAAGTTTAAAAGGCAAGCCAAAGACGAGTCTTGTTTAAAAGCCAAGTCCAATACCAACCGTACTGTGTTCATCTTCTCTTCATTGTCTTTTTTTCAACCGCCAAATCCTAAAATTTCTCCAGCAAAGGTTCTCTTCTCTCCTCCTATGGCAGATTTCTGATTAAAAAATCTCCGGTGATCTTAAAATGCCTTCCGTTCAAATACGTTCGTCTCCACCGCCGGTGGCCACGGTTACTGATCTTAAGCAACGTGTCATTGCTTGTCTCAATCGTCTCTCCGATCGTGATACTTTGGCTCTCGCGGCGGCAGAGCTTGATTCGATCGCTCTCAATCTCTCGCCGGAGACTTTTCCTCTGTTTATAAATTGTCTTCAGAGTACAGACTCTTCCGCGAAGTCTCCGGTTAGGAAGCATTGTGTCTCGCTTCTCTCTGTTCTCTCTCGTTCGCATGGCGATTCTCTCGCTCCTCACCTTTCGAAGATGGTCTCAACCGTTCTCCGCCGCCTACGTGATCCTGACACTTCCGTCCGTGCTGCTTGTGCGGCGGCTTCAGTTGATATGACTACCAGCATCACTGGAACTCCTTTCTCAATCCTCTTGGGGCCGATGATCGAAACGCTTATCCATGATTGCGATCCGAACGCGCAGATTGGTGCTGCTGTGTGTGTAGCAGCTGCGATTGACGCAGCGGATGAGCTGGATGTTGAGCAGCTACAGAAGGCGCTGCCCAAGATTGGGAAATTGCTAAAATCGGAAGGTTTCAAGGCGAAACCTGAACTTCTAGGAGCCATAGGGAGCGTAATCGGAGCTGTTGATGGCAGAAACAGCGAGAAGGCAGTGCTAGACTGGCTTTTACCGAACGTTTCGGAGTTTCTAAGCAGCAGTGATTGGCGTGCAAGGAAAGCCGCCGCGGAGGCAATGGGTAGAATAGCTATGGCGGAAGAAGAGTTAGCTCCTTTGTATAAGAAGGCCTGTGTAGGTATTCTTGAGAGCAGAAGATTTGACAAGGTAATTATTCGAAACAATTTATGGTAAAATTCATGCGCAAGTGCAATCAATTTCGTGTTAATCTTATTCTTCGATCTTACTTGTGCAGGTCAAACTTGTTAGAGAGACAATGAATCATACATTGAGGTTATGGAAGCAACTTGAAGGTGATTCAACAGGGGTCTCAGAGTCTTCTTCCTCCTCTAAATCAGCTTCTTATGGAATGTCTGCGACTTCAGGAAAGAGAAGCAACGGATTGAAAGGCAAAGATAGAAATTCAAACACACTATTAAGCTCAAAGTTGAATGGTGTTGAGCCCTTAGACCGTAGTAATACTCCGAAGGATGTTGAGCAGAACGCTGTGGAGTCAAAAGACAAGCGGAATCATTCGACATTAGGAGCTAAACGGAATCTGTTCCCGGCGAAGGTGTCTAAGGTCAATGAGAATGGGTTGAACAAGTCACAAGTTGTTCAAAGTAGTGATGAGGAGAGTCCTAAAACTGACAGTGGTAGCAGTAGCAGTTCTTCTCAGGCAATGAATAATGCAGAAGAGTTGTCTCTGATAAGAAACCAGATTACTCAGATTGAAAAACAACAGTCCAGTCTGTTAGATCTCTTTCAGGTTACCTTCTACTCTGAGCTCTCATTGATTTTTATACTTTTAAAACATCCAACAAGCTGTGTTGTGCTGACTTTTGAATTTTTCTTGCATTTATCATTGCAGAAGTTCATGGAGAGCTCGCAGAATGGAATGCAATCTCTAGAGAGACGAGTACGTGGTCTAGAAACATCCTTCAGCGTAATCTCCACTGATTTGTTAGTCTCTCGCACCATAACACGAAATGGAAACCACAAACGAAACGCCTGTCTACAGAACTGAAGAAAAATCCAAAAGCTCACTTTATCTGACTCAATACTTCAAAACTTTTAGCTTGAGAAGAAGATTCATTGTAATACATAAACTCTAAGCTAATCTATTTTACATTCATTTCGACATTGTGTAACCAAAGGGATGGTACGTTACCTTTAGTGATTGATACTTGTAATGTTTTCTCATAAGATGATTATATCTTCTTTTTTTTCCGTTTTCCCGGTCTGATTGCATTCAATCTTTTTCCTGGGAAACCTCAGCGGAATTAATAAAATATCTCCCCAATGTGGCATCTAGCTTCTCCCCAATTGCAGAAATCCAAGCCTAGATATGATAAGCAAAATAACTCTTACACTTGTTCTATTGTCTCTTCTAAGTCACAAAACAGAATAGAGAAGTTAAATAATTCATTACCTGGTCTGAAGACGTGAAGCCTCTAATTGTGTTTCCGCCAATGACTGCGATTCCTTTATCACCAAGCGGCTGCAAAATTACGGCCTAGCAAACATATATATGTTAGACATGCAGTTTGATCATTCCCTAACTTAATGGAGTAATACTTGAATTCTCAAAACAAACCTGTGTATTTGCAGGCAGAAATGGCAGCTCTGATCTCCCAGGATATAGAGAAAGATTGGCCAAGTAACTCTCTAATAAACAAAATCAGTTGCCTTACCTTACACAAATACACATTCTCCACACAAAAATTATATACGAAAACCCGAACTACTTACGTGCTTTGGATTTCATTACCCCTCGGTAAACCGATCCTTGCATCAGCTTATCAGTATTTACAATGACTCCTTTCTTATCTTCTGGAGATTCAGCAACCATCCCAATTTGTATAAGACAAATACCATCGTAGACAATTACTAGAGACTTACAACATGTTGCTACCTTCAGAGATTCCCACGCCCTAAGAGATTACACAAAACTCAAATTCAATTTCTACTTGTATCTTACAATGAAGAGACATGAAGCAGATCATTACCATAACAATTCGGAAACTATCGATGTAGGAAGATCAGATTCTACAACTTTGCATTCCACACCTTCAGGATTAACCTGATATCAAACAAGACCAAGACTCACATTACTTTGTCAAATCCTTCAGTATACACAAACATGGTTATTGAAAGGGAAAAGAGAAAATCCTACAGGTGTAATGGACTTAGGCCGAATCGATAACCAAACTAAACCGGTCAATAAATTGGTTACAGCCAAGCCAAGCGCCAATAGATCTGCTCTAGACTGTGAGCTACACGAAACCAAGAGTTGAATCACATATTCACATCGAAACACCAAATCAATGATCACACCAAATTCCAGATCAAATCAGATAAAACCCCTAAATTGTATCAATCTCAGATTCTTCAGAGTCCGGTTTAATCAAAAAATTGTACCTGCTAGCATCGGCGACAGGAGCGATACCGGAAACAGTACGATTGAAGAGAACAGCCAAAAGAGAAGCGCCTCCGACGTAGATAGGTAAGCTCCGAGCCAAGTCATCGTTTCTCGAAATGAAATCGGCTACCAAGTTTTTACTCGGTTTCGGACCTCTGTAACTTTGTGAGGTTGATGACGAAGAAGAAGAAGAAGAAGCTCTGATAAAACGCTGGAGATGTGGAGAAGGACGAAAGAATCGGCGATTAGGGTTCCAAGGGATTTGAATTTGGAGGATGATTCTGGCTTCCATTGAAGATGAAGGAAGTGAGGTTTATAAAGAGGATTAGAAATTGGCCGTTAGAAGAAATCTTTATCTTCCTACAGATACATACATATATGATTTTTTTTTTTTTTTCATAAATTGAATATACTTTATTATTTTATTTTGCGTACAAATTTTTTTTGTCGACTGCGTACAGATTATATGTTTGATATAATTTAAAGTTTAAACTAAAACTATAACAATATTAACTCTAATTTAAGTTTTTCTTCCAAATTTATTGTACACTCTTGTATTTCCAAAATTAAATTAATACCATATATCAAAAAAAATTCGAAATTGAATTTTAAACTCTAAACTATAAACATGCTCCCTAAAAACTATACCATAAATGTAATATAGTTAACACAAACTTAAAAAAAAATCTACAAAATTATTAAAAATATTATGTGTTAAATTAGTGCTAGTTTTGGAAACTTATTTAGTGTGTGCTATTATTGTCTATAAAACATATTTTGGTGTTATTTAAGTTTATTTCTTTAGTTTTTTTAATTTATATTTTGCAAATATATAGATTTTTCAGTTTGTAAACAAGTTTATTTGTTGTTATAGCTTAGAAGTTAGAACTATTTATTTTGGGATATGATATTCATCTTTCCAATATATGTAGGAAACTTCAAATTTCTAGTACCTCAACCTATTTAGTTAAGTATATGTGTCAAATTATTTCTTTCATTCCAACAAGTTTATTAGAGGATTCTTAAGAATACAACTCTTATTTTCCCCACCATTTATGATTATCCTCATATGATCAGTTAACACGGTCGTTGGTGATACTCCACATCAGAATCCAAATCTATTTTTGGCAGCCACTTTTTGTTATACTTTATCGGTGACTTGTTACTCTGTATACAAGTTTTTGTATCGAAAGAGTGTAGTTTCTGGAACCTTGTTAGTGATGTCTAGCTCTTGAAACTTCTTAGCTAGGGAATCGATTTTTATATTTCTTTCCCACATCTCAGCAAACGATGTACCTGCATTTTGTAATAGAGTATTGATTTCAAAAGTTAGAAATCTAGGAATTTGATATGAAAGTGCATTTGCATGTTTTGCTTGTTATTGATTAGGAATTCTATTTCATAGATAGTTGATATATATGAGATTTTTATGGTATTATTTTTTCATTGTGTTACTATAAATTTATGTTTTAATAAATCATATATATATATATATTTGAAAGTGGAAAGATATGTAGACTTTAGTGAACATGTTAAAAATGCAAAAAAAAAAAAGATTCTTTATTATGTAAAATAGCATGTTAATGGTTGTAGTTAAGATACAAACATTGTTTCTTTAGTGTTGGAGAGTTGAGTAGATGTAAGTATTTGAAATTTCTATTTAGAAAGGTTCATTTATCACTTTATTTCAATTAAAAGAAGTATAATTAGAAAATAGGTTAAAATCTTTTGTTTAAAATAAGTGATTTTTTTTTTTTTAATTTGGTTAGACATTGATATCATAGACCAAATAATTAGTATCAAACAAAAGTAAGCCAAAATATCATAGTTGGGACGAGTTTGAACATCATGGTTATTTCTGCCCAAAAAATGTTTTGCCAACTCATACGAGTACTAGTTTTGAAATTGAATAAGAGCATAAGTTAAAAAGCTATATATACTTTTTTTGTTTGGGTTGAAAGTCTTTTAATTCTTTCAATGTAAATAACCACACAATTCTAACTAACATGTAAGAACACCTCTTCTTGTTTGTATTTCTATAGAAGTTCACAAGACACTAAAGAAAACGGATGATCAAGATAACAAAGATCATTTCAAATTCAATTCAAAAAATGATTTCACGCCTACTAATCTAGTGGATAGTAACGGTGTAATTGTCCAATTACATAAGAAGTTATGTAAAATTTTCTTTTTTTCTAATATTGTAAAAGTTTGATAATTTCATTTTAATTTGAACGATCATAATTCTCTTTTTCTTCTTTACCCCACAATGTTCGAAGATCTTCTTGTTTCTTAGTTTATAATTATAATGATAAAATTTCATATAAAGCAATATATGACATAAAATAGTCAATCTTTACTTATTGGAGTCAAAAACATATGGAGAATGTTGCAGATATGACTGGAAACAAAAATATAGAAATAAATCCACGACATCCCCTAGTTTAGACCAATTAAGAGTTCAAATAAATAAAGGGTGGATTGCGAAACTAACTGTTAAATTGTTGTTTATTACTGATTTGGATGAGAGAGAAACAATGTGAAAAATGGCTGTTTTGTCCTTCTGAACCAGTTGCAGGAATAAACGTAATTACGGTCGATGCCATTAAAAAGAAATTCCACGTCGGAGAGAGAGCATATTTTGGTGGAAAAAACTCCCGCCAACCGATAAGTCTACCAATTTAGTTATGGTAGACTTAAGGAGGATTATAGAGTTTTGTAGTAGAGAGTATGATATTACACAGAGTTGTAAGTTAGAGATTTTTGTAGTGGTGGTAGATTGATTGAAATGACAGAGTTACCTAGTATAGTTACTTACAATGGCGGTAGAGTTGGCTCAACTATAGAGTTATCAAATAGGGTAATGGACTAATGGTATTGGCCGTAGATTTAGGACCAAAAGATAGTTAGAGTTATGGGAGCGATATAGTTTCCTGACAGAGTTGATGATAGTGGCGGGAGAGTTAACAGGATGATAGAGTTAGACAGCAGACTTAACTGCAGTGGTGGTAGAATTATAGTGGCCAAAACAGTATTTGTGAGCTCTCACACTTGATGGTAGACTTGTCCACGTTATGGTAGATTTACTTGTAGTGATGATAGAGTTACGCTGACTAGAATAGCGTAAATTTGATAGAGTTAGTGTCTGCTGATAGAGTTGTATATCGAATCTCTATCATCATAGTACAGACTTGTACGATGGAGTTAAGAAAAGAAAATTTGAACTAGGGTTTAGTTAGGACGAACCATGAGGCAAAATCTCGATTTTGCCCTTACAAATAATTTATATTACATCTAAAACCTAGCAATGACGACAGACTTACAATATTATTATAACTCTAGTATAGGCTCCGACTGGTAACACGAGTTATCAAAATTGAGTTGCAGTAAGTATTACGATTCGATGTAGGCTCCGACTGGTAACATGAGTTATCGAACTCGAGTTGCAGTAAATATTATGATTTGATGTAACTTGCAGTAAATATTATGTGGCAAACCAACGGTTTGATTTAGTGAATCGCTGTAGAAATATGATTTATTAATCTTACAAAATCATTGACTGGTGACATTTTTGTAGTAGAAGTTGCAGTATGATGTTCATTAAATAAGTTTAATTTAATATAATTGATTATTATAATTATTAATGATTATATTTAATTAACTTATGGAAATATAAAAATTTAAAATATATCAATTATAAAACTAATTTTAATATATAAAAGTTAATCAAATTTTCCTATAACATAGCCAATTAAAAAAAAAATATGTCCCAAATATTTACGGTCTTATATATCATATTTAGATCTATATCTATTTTCATTTCAAATAAAAATAAAATTAATAATTTGGCAACATATAAGTAGTTTATGAAAATATTTAAGAACAAAATATTAAATAAAATAAAATAGTAAAATTAATTGTTTTATTGATATATGAATTAAATAGAAACAGAAGATAAATAAATTCTTGTATTAATAACTGAAATTTCTTTTTTAATAAATAATAAGTTTTTTTTAAAAAAAAATGAAATGAATGGATACTTCAACTCTACCTCATAGAATTTTCCATGATGTTGCATAATCTTTTGAGTTAGCAATTTTACAAAGGACATAACTCAAATTCGTAATTCAAGCATAACACATTGTAACTCAAACTCAACTTCAAAAAAATTAGTTTTATTGATGTAGTGAGTTTGCTGTAGAAAGATGAATTAGTTATAAAGAATATCTATCAAAAATTTAAAATAATTAGTTATAAACAATAATAACATTTTTCAAACAGAATAACAAAAAAAAATTAATTAAATGATATTGTTTAAAAAATAAAATTGTAACGTAAAAAAAAACTAGTGATGTACATTTGTGTACGCTTCAACAATAAATAATAGTGGGAACAAACTTTTTTATTTTATTATTGGAACAACTTTTGTTTGAAAGAGTCAATTAAAAAAACAAGAAAATTTTAGAAATGTTTTGGAGCAAAGTGGTATACGTAGCTTAGCATAAAAATAGATATAAAAATAAAAAAATGTAAGAAAATGAAAAGAAATAAAAAGTCATAGTTGTGATAGAGTTATGGTGTTGATTTAAGGCCAAGTAACTATACAATCTATCGTGAATATGTACTAAGTAAAAAAAAAAAATAATAATGGCAGTTACGTAATTAAAAAAAACTATATGGGCTTTTGTCATTTACTTAAGTTTTTGAGCTAGTTTAGCTCTACCAAATTTGGATGGGCTAGTCTAGTTATTAACACAGATTTACGTGCTAGTTTCGTTCTTTTTTCATAAATAAATAAAGCAAGAAAAATCTTTTTTTTTTTTTTTTTATTTGAACACCAAGCAAGAAAGATAACAATGAAAAACAAATTTGTAAAAAAGGTTCTTCTTGTACGTTCACTAGCTTCAGAGAAAGTCTCTCAAGAAATGGTGATCAGACTGGGAATATAGACAGATGATTGAAGCACAGATACCACTTCATCTATCTTAATCTTTTTACACATATCTCCCCTCACAATATAGACCCAAGCTTCAGGTTCTTTGCTATCATGATAACACAGAACGAAGCTCTTTCCATAGATGTTATAATCGACGAAGTAACTTGTACGCATGTCATTACATATCATGGGGAAGTCAGGTAGTGAGACAGCCATGAAGTTAATCCACACCACATCGTCCCCATCATCCCCGTTACCAATCTTCTTCCCTGTCACCCAAATCTTAATCTCTCTTGTTGGGAATATGCATTGCTGTAGCACTGAAAACCGATCTCTCTTGTAAATCGAGAGGACAGGAGTATTAAAAGAACGTTTTTTCCCCTTACACGGTACAATACAGAACATCTTTATCATCTCTTTCGAAAAATCGAGCATTTCGATAAAATACTCACCAATATCAGGATAATTGTATGCTATCCAGTACATATTTCCATTCAGGGAGACCATAGAATTATAGCACGCATCATCCATTCTTGAACTGGTATTATGAGTAACCTCCCACACATTAGTTGCAAATTCGAGAACTGCATCTTCATCGTTGATCGAATAAGTATATCCAATAATCTTGTAAATCTTTTCGGAACTACTACCATCGTAACCCATGAACATGGTCCTTGTAGTCTCATTCGGGGCAATGTATTTAGTGTGTCTCAATAACGGGTTCCAAACCACGCCTCTGTGTTCCCCACTGTCTATGCCTACTTTAGGAGACTCATACATGAACATGTAACCATCGCAGGTCATCGCAGAGAGGTCATAACGGCGACCGCGTAAAAAATCAAAGCAAAAATCAGTCACTTTGATAGTTGGATCTTCTTTGAGATCGACACTAACAGAACAAATGTGGGAATCTGACTTTAGCATGAACTCTGGGCGAGCGAAGGCAAAGTTTCTGTTGACGAATCTCTTACTGCTGGAACGATTGTACCATTCTTTGCAAACGGATCTGAAGCGAAGGAGAGATTGAGGTGGAACTCGAACGAGTATCTCTTCTTCAACATCTGATGGAAGCCGTCTCGACACCACCATTACTCTACTAAGAGTTTTCTTGTAAATGAAGAAGGAACCAATGAAGGCAATATATGTATAGACTATAGTAAATATTATTGGATTAATAAATACAGTATGATCTGTCCCCATTTAGCCTTTATGTTTATTCAATTTTAATAGATTTTTTTTTTCCCATATTTCTATCCATAATTTAGTCTCTATCTTCTTTTTATTGGTTAAAATATTTTTAGAAACATATTAAATAATATATTTATATGAGAATAACAATGTATTTATGGTTTCTTAAACTTGAGATTTTAAGTAAAAGGTCTTATAAAATGGGACATAAAAAATATTTTAACTAAAAGGTTAAGACCTTTTAGCACAAACAAAATATTTATTATGTATAAACCCTTAAGATAATCATAAGTCTTTGCCATGTACAAGTGAATTCTGATATATTTAATTTTATGTATAGTTTTGTTAAATAATAAAAATATATACATTTATATAAAATTATTAAAAGTGTTAAGTTTAAAAATACATGTAGTGGTTGAGTTTAGTTTTATTATATGTTTTCAATGTAACAAAAAACAAAGTATTTTCTAAATTACTGGGACTTCCATTCAAATTAGTGTAATCGTCGCGGATTGATAGTTTAGTAATTAATATCTAGTAAAATATATGTTAAATTTAGATAAGGATCCGCATGAATCCGCGGGTATAAGGAATAAAAGTAAAATTTATTGAAGATATATTTGAATCCTTATATTAGTAAAAGAGAAGTACAAAATAGAATATGGGTCGGATCAAAATTAAAAAATTAATCCTATTTTAACAATTAGATACTTCAAAATTGGATATTAAATTGGGTTTGGATACATACATACATCGGATACTTCCCATATCTAATTTTAGGATTGTATTATTTCCATAACTAACATAGGATTTCCTAATATTTCTCTAACTAATTTGATATAATTATAAGTGGTAAATGAATATTTGACTTCACTTATAAGTGATTCTGAAAGTGGTGATGCTAATACTTTGTATTAGCTGTAGTAAATATTTGCATCGATTGTTAAAAGTGATGCAATTGAACTTCTTTTTTTGCATGGCAAATTTCTATGGCAAAAGAACATTGGCCATATGAATATATAGTCTAATAACCATGATGAATAATGCAAGCATCATCAGATTTTCTTTACGTAAAATCTTGGGAGTATTATACAAGATGAGATTTTCTGTAGTTTTTAAAATTTAAATAATCTAATGAAAATTAATTTAATCAAAAAATATAATCTAAAGTGTTGACAAAAAAAGGATAATGATTTTTTTTTCTTTATTAAAAACTCCTTAATGGGCTGGACCCTTAACGGGCTGGGCTTAGGAATACAAAATCGACACAATAGTTACAAAAAGAGGAAATCGGAAAAGCTCACCGGAAACCTAAGTCGGAAGTTCAGATCTTGCTGTATAACCGGAGGCAGAGAATCAGAGCATAAACTACGACGATTTGAAGGAGCACGACGTTACAGCAGGCACGAGGGTTTGGAGAGCTCCGACGAGAGAATCCGGTTCCCACCATTGAAAACCAATCTGTCGACCTACCATTCTGCTATACTCCTCCCGATATGCTTAACTATCCGACGACCGGTTCCGAGAAGTCAAATCCCAATCCTAGCAACCTGACAACCGGGAATCTATCCCCTTCAACCAAAAACCAGGAGTTGCGAAATCCTCTGAACAAAGAACTTTCCAAACCGGACCGGTGAAAACCACACACGACGGATCCAAAGGTTGACGGCTCAGACATACACTCTTTCACCGGAACCCGCAGCAGTCTTTAAAGTTCAAAAGAACTTACCATGAATCACCAAATCTAAACAACGAACCCACATCTTCTCCACCAACTTCCGCCGTAACCGTATCGACCAGCTGGACGACTGAGCCAAGGAGAGGCTCTGATACAACCGCCAACGTCTTCAACCAAGGTCATGCGCATCAGATCTCCCTACCGCCTCACCGGAATCGCCACTACATCGATGAAGAAGCACCACACCACCACTGTCGGAGGAAAGAATTAGCCCATCACTGAAACTCAAATAATGTCAACCGGCAGCCAATGATACGCTCTACAAGAAAGGAGAGGAGGGAGAAGCCACACTATCACCGGCAACGCCGGGGAAGGTATTTTCCCCTCTGGTTTTGCGGCTAGGTTTGTGACGAGAGAGGAGAGAGATTTTCTTTTTGGGCCTCTCAAAGGTTTCCTACTTTCAATTAAAATTAATTTGATTTTACAGAGTTTTTCAATTTCATATAATCCAATTAAAATTAATTTGATTCAGTGTACTATGGGTCTATGCTTAAAGTTTTAATAAAGTATTATTAGGAAATAAATATGGGGAAATTACACCTGGTAGACCCAGATAACTCAATAATTAGTTCTATCATCTAGGCACTATTTGACATATATATACACATATATGAGACACTAATATCCTCAATGTATAAATGTTGGTATTCGATGACTTTCAGTGGAGACAAAACAGTTTTTGCTTGTATTTTATAATTCTTTAGTGATTTTTGGAGTTTTTCAATGAATACAAAAATTCTAACTTGTTATTCGGATATGTGATTATAGAGAACGAAGGAGAGATTTTGGCGTTGGCTCGCATGGATTGTTACATGAGAAGCCTAACAACTACTTCACAACGGAGGTTGGTCGGTGATTCACGGTGGAGATGGCGGTGACGGAAGTGAGACATGACTTGTGGGTTGACGGTTAGATCCCATGACATGTCCAAGGGGAAAAATTCATACGGTGGTCGGAGACGGTGTTTCATTGGCTTCATCGGAGACGACGTACGAAGACATACACGACGGCGGATGGAAGGAAGTTACTGAGGATGAAAAGTACAGTTCTCTTTCTCATAGTTAATTAATCGAATTTTTTCTTTGTTGCGATCATTAACGGTAAATTCAATTAGGTGAAGAGGAAGATCAAGAGAAATGGTTTTCAATAAACGATGGTGGTGACTTTGGTTATGGTTCAAGTTGGTTAACAGTCAAATTACCGAGTTACTTAAAACCTTATATGAATGATTATAAATTAGTGACTAACAAATGTAATATTGCGTTAACATGATCTGTAGACCACATTTTTAAGATGTTTTGTTGATGATAAAACATGAAAATGTGTAAGATAGCTGATAAAAACAATCTTAATAGACATCGTTAATTTATTTAAATGTTATATATAATTCGTTAATTTCTTATATACGATATAATAAATGAGTTAGCACGACAAATATAAAATTATCACGATAACTTACACGTTAATATAAATATTATCCATATAAGCGTTAACATATAATATGTAAATTATCACGATAATAAATTATTTAACATGTTAAATAAGTTATATGGTAAACTTCTTAAATATTTTAAATAACCCAAATACAAAGGATTCTTGTGGTATAAAATATTTTCTCTTTGCTACTTTATTAAGTTTTAAATTATCAGTGCTATAAACTTAATAAAATGATCAACTGAGTATATACTTTAACATAGCCCATAAATATGGATATCGAGAATAAAAAAAATATGGACATTGAGACAAATACAATTAGATTACAGAAACATAATAATAATAATAATAATAATAATAATAATAATAATAATAATAATAATAATAATAATAATAATAATAATAATAATAATAATAATAATCTTATTTCATTCAATATCAAAAAGTTGAAAATCAACAACTAATACAAAATTCATTTTTAAAATTTTGAATTTTAAATAATAATAAAAAGATCAAATAGCCAAAAACTAAAAGGAGTATCATCAATTCCTCCTAGGGTCTGGAGTCTAGCAACAACATTGTGGGTTGTCTTCACTTTTGACTTCATAATCACATTGTCCATATGCATATCTTTGACTTCTATATTCATTGTCACACTCTCTAATACCATAAGATGACTCACACGGCCCTATGCAAGTTTCCTCTTCCTGGATTGCTGCAATCTCAAAACATAAAATTACCAATTTTATGTTTTATGCTTTATGATCAATGATAAATTAACAATAATAATTACCTGGATGGGCCAAAATGCTGTTGTTTAAAAACGAAATTGTCAATATTCCTACAAAGAAAATAGTCACATATGTTTTTGAGATATCCCTTTTTTTTTTTGAGAAAAATGGATTTTTGTTGTGTTTTCCAGATCTGCATGAAGATCTCTAATTTATATGATTTTTTTTCTTGTCGAGTACTACAATTTCAATTTTCAAACGATATTTCCGTTTTTATTACCATAAATAAATACTCTATATTAATATAATTTTTTTGTCGAGTAAAATTTTAAAATACAAACAGTATTTCCGTTTTATTACCATAAATAAACTCTATATATATATATATATATTTTTAATATAGGTTGGCTAAAATTTATTACCTTTCTTAATTATATAAGTTTGACGTAAAATAACCTAAAACTGTATAGATGAGCATGTTTTACTCAAATAAATGATTACCGATTTTAATATATTTTAAAATTAAACAAGTGAGATTGAATATGTAAATTTCAAATTAATTTAACATATATTTTATTTTATTTATTTTAGAGTTGCCAAATATGATAATTGCATTAAGCCATATTGTATGATCATCACTATGCATATGGAAAATATCATAATACAATGTTGTTGGTACCAATCATAGGAATCAATACTCTTTTTTTAGAACTATAAATTAATTTTATTTAAAAATATATTAAAATCACGAAATATATTAAATATTTTTTTTGTCTAAAAATTTAAAAAATACTCATCCCTATATTAGTAAAAGAGAAGTACAAAAAGTGCTTCCGGGTCGGGTCAATTTCAAAAAATTATCCGAAATTTGTAATTGGATCTTTTAAAATTGGATAGATTAATGGGTTTGGATACATACACCGGATACTTTCCAAATCTAATTTTAGGATTGTATTATTTCCATAACTAATTATAAGATTTACTAGTATTTCACTAATTAATTTAATACAATCTATTTAAAAAAATTATTTTTCTTTCACTTTTATTTGATATTATTTTTAATTTATGAAATTATACTATATAATATAAATATTTAATAAAAATTTAACTTTTTTTGCATATGTTGCAATTTGAATTTTTCAAAACGGACATATAATACTCAACTACACTCGGTTAAATATTTTGGACAACGGTTTAAAATCATTATAAGTATGACCAATATTAAAACCATTGTTACATGAGCATATTATAAATAAAAGGTTCAAATATATAAAACTTTTAGAATTTAAAATATCGAAATATTTTTTTGAAGACATAAATGTAATTTTAGAGACATAATTTTTATTGATAAAACATATTATATATCAAACTATGTAAATTTTAGATAATTCACGGGTAGTTTGTTAAAATCACAATTATAATGATAAAACGAGTTACGAATAATGTTTTTTACGAAATGAATTCTGTTACGGGTTGGACTTTTAAAAAATATATTGTAAATATGTAATTTTTACGTATATTCCTACTTTTAATACAAAAATGGTCAAAATAAATAATTTATCGACAAATATTATTTTGTGCTATTAAATTTTTACCGTGCTTTGAATTGTATCAAAATTCGGTATATGATTATTTACTCGCTTTTTCCTTTATTATTTTATTTAAATTATATGATTTACAGTAATCGACTGCATTATAACAAAATTAAAATGTAACATAATATAATTCGATAAAAGTTATATATATGTAATTATTTCTCACGCGCTGTAGCGCGGATCCGAACCTAGTTTTTGTGTGATGAGAGAAACCAAACCAAAGACGGGTCAGAGCCACCTTTAAAAACCATCGGCGACTTCTCCTCCACCACCACCGTCGTCGCCGTGTTCGATCCTAAACGATTCGGTGGCTATTTTCCATTGTTAGAGTTTGGATAAAAGAGACGACGAGATGCCGTCAAACGGGGATCTCGACCGTCAGATCGAACAGCTTATGGAGTGTAAGCCGTTGGGTGAAGCAGACGTGAGGATCCTCTGCGATCAAGCCAAAGCGATTCTCGTTGAGGAATGGAATGTTCAACCGGTTAAGTGTCCGGTTACGGTTTGCGGCGATATCCATGGCCAGTTTTATGACCTAATTGAGCTTTTTCGTATTGGTGGTAGTGCTCCTGATACTAATTACCTCTTCATGGGAGATTATGTAGGTATGTCTTGTCTCTTCTCCTTCAATCAATCAATTTCATATTTTTTTTTTTCTTTTTTTTGGGGGTTTTGATTTCTTGGTGAGTTATGTTTCCTGATTTGTTGATGTAATGATGATCCAAGATTGTTTTATTGGACTTGTGTTTGGTTTGATGAGTCTAATATTGAAATGAAAATTTGGAGTTTTGTTATACCTGAAAGTGAGCTTCTTTGTGAGTTTTTACTTGCTACTAGATGGTTTTGAGATCCTTATTTGATTGATATGCGGAAAAGTTTGGTAATTTCTCAGAATCTTTTACCAGTTTTAGAAAATTTCATGGGCAGTTAACTATCTTCAAGTTGGTGCTAACAGTGACTGTCTTTGATAAATTGTTGTCTTGGCTATATCTTTTCAGATCGCGGCTACTATTCAGTAGAAACAGTCTCTCTATTAGTGGCACTGAAGGTGCGTTATAGGGACAGACTCACGATCTTGCGAGGGAATCATGAGAGTCGTCAGATTACACAAGTGTAAGGTTTCTTTTTGTTGTAAGAAAACTTGGATTTCATTTCCTTCTGACTCACACGAACTTAGAGTTTTTGTTCTTGTGTGTCCAGCTATGGTTTTTATGATGAATGTTTGAGGAAATACGGAAATGCAAATGTGTGGAAGTATTTCACGGACCTTTTTGATTATCTCCCTCTTACAGCACTCATAGAGAGTCAGGTTTGAGCTGTTCTTGCCAGTGTCATTGTTCAATCCTATTTATTTCACTTCTGCATTTCTCGTCATTAACTGTAATCTATTGCAGGTTTTCTGTTTGCATGGAGGCCTTTCACCTTCTTTAGATACCCTTGACAATATCCGAAACTTGGATCGAATACAAGAGGTATTGCAATATTTTTGCTGTAGAGGCAATATTTTCGGTTGAATTATCTGTATATTTCTCCTCCTTTTGCTCAAAACACAGATTCTCGCTGGTTATAAACTCTCTGAAACCTCCGAGTTGTTATTAGTTTTGGTTCCCAGAAAGAACAATTATTGTTATGGCTTCTGATACGGTATGCTCTGGGATTGTAGGTTCCACATGAGGGACCAATGTGCGATCTACTATGGTCTGATCCAGACGATCGCTGTGGATGGGGAATATCTCCTCGTGGTGCTGGTTACACATTTGGACAGGACATTGCAACACAGTTTAATCACAACAATGGGCTGAGTCTGATATCAAGAGCGCATCAACTTGTAATGGAAGGCTATAATTGGTGTCAGGTACATATATCATTTATTCATAACATAGGTAGGCATAATTTTTGGGTTCTGGTTGCATAGATGCTGAATCTTTTGGTGTGTATGTGTATTGATAGGAAAAGAACGTGGTGACGGTGTTTAGTGCACCAAACTACTGTTACAGATGTGGTAACATGGCAGCAATTCTTGAGATTGGAGAGAACATGGAACAGAACTTCCTTCAGTTCGATCCAGCACCTAGACAGGTCGAACCCGATACCACACGCAAGACCCCTGATTATTTTTTGTGATTTCCCTACCACTTCAATTTTTTATTTTCAGAGTTTGTTTGTTGCTGTATCATTGTAGATGTGTCTCTATCTTATTTTGTTTTATTGCGTCTCTAAATGGAATTTGATACCAAAAGACCAAAAACTCATCATTTTTTTTGTTGATGTTGATACTGAAAAAGGTTTGTAGAAGCCTCCCTCTATTATAGTAAATATCTGATATTAGCTGCCTTTGTTACTTGATGTTTCAATTTAGAATTCACCATTTCTATCACATTTGGTGTGTAATAGTACCTTTGTTATTTTCATGCTCCCAAACCATTTCTACTTTGTTATAGTAGTACTCGTAAATGTAAAAACATTTTGACATACAAGTAATACAAAACTAAAGATATTTAGAATATATAAAAGGAGAAACAGTGACCTCAACTGTGTAATAAAATCAAATTTATGTACATGGGGAAGAAGTATTGTGTACTATAATGCTTGCCTCTCCACATGAGTCATAAATGGAGCTGTGAAAAATGGCGTTTAAGAACAGAATACAAACATAAAACACCTAAGAGGTACATTCTCTACATATATTTTAAAACTAAAGGCCCTAACAAAAAAAACCCCAATCGGATGAAATTGCCTAAATGTACAAAGACAATTAGCAATAATATATATATTGGTTCTACTTCTTTGGTACTTTAGGCCGTGACCTCATACTGGCTCTCCTTGCCACATCCCACGCCTTCTGTGGCGCGTAAATACCTAACTGAGAAGCAAAGAAGGATTCATAACCTGGTGAATCAAACGCAAACCCAGTGTGCTTCGAGAGTTCCCGAGGCAATTGGGATATCGCATAGCTTCTCGCCTCTTGAGGTGTGAGCTCGTTTTCTATCTCCAGCTGATCTGCCTTGCTTGCATCTGATTCGTGCCTATGTATTTCTTGCACGATCTGATAATCATATGGGAAGAACCATCTCTCAATCCTGCATTAGTAAAGACATAAGATTCTCTCATGTCATAATCCTGAAGAAAACATCATGTGTATACCCATATAGAACCTATGATCTGAATTAGGTTAAGACAGGAATGTAGTGTTCTTTTACCAAATAATCACATGTTGGTTCATGACAAAAAGTATTTGAAACTGATAATATCACGGTGTTACTTACCCTTGGAAAATGAAATCGCCTAGTAGAGAGACAATGGGAACAAGCAGCAATGTGAAGTAGAAATAGAAGGTACTCATCAGGACATATATGACAAAGTAGACATTTTCCTGCAGAGACGAGAAATAAGTTAACTAAGATTTGCCAAGTTATAACAAAAAAATATCATAATTCAGAAACCCTAAGATGTATGCAAACAGCTTACATTCCTATCGTGTGGTGTCATAATCCCACAGTATATGAAAGCAAAAACGAGCCACGCAAGAATACTCCCACCAACTGTGATATAATGCCATCTGGTAATGGAATTGCTCATTAAAAGAATGCGCACATTCACAGCAATCACCAGACATGTGAAGACCATTGTGCTAACGTCCCAGATGCCAAATACTTTGCCTGATGAATTTACAGCACCGAAAGATGAGGTGGTCACGAAGAGATAACAGACAAGAGACTGATACACAGCAGAAGAAGCCCATACTGCTACAACTCTCCATTTGAAAAATGAGTTCCGTATTCCCTCTCGATACAGTTCTGGATATCTTTTCGAGAGGGATGCACTCACATCCTAGAAAGAGCACAACATGGAGATGAAATTATCAGATCCTAAACAAGATATAGATGGTTCTAATTAAGATGAATATTCTTTTGCATAAAGCAGAGATCGGGAAAAACTACTACCTTCTCAAACAGCCCAAGGACAATGACAGGAAGAGCTGTAAATACAACATTATACAAGGACTGGAACCAATCATCATAGAACCTTTGCCCAGAAAATCCAGTTCGAAATGTGAACCAAAACTGAGTCAAAGTGAAGGTAAGATTCTTGTAGAAGAAATACATGACAACCTGCCAAGAAAAGATCATTAGAACTGTTCAAAAACAAAAGGCGCATTTGTGGTGAAAGGGAAATTCAACCTTGCAGATTCTAAGATATGACCACCGTCCATGGACAAGAAGCAAATCCGTAAGAAATCTGAACTGAGCAATGGCAAAATCACTAGCCATCACAGCTTGCATTCCCTCCATCCCACTTATTCCTATACCAACATGAGCGGCTTGAATCATGCTAACATCATTGGCACCATCACCAATACTAAGTGTAATCTTTTGCGCCCCTTTCCTCACCAAACTTGTCACCTGAAATTATATCACATATATTAAAAATTAGAAGCCGGTTCAAAGAACACATAGAGCCAAGTTACTCACTCGATATGAAATTAAGTGCCATAATTAACCCAAGAAAATATATCATTACCAATTTTGGTAACAAGATCCCTAGAACAATAATATATAAGAATAGACATTGCCTACAGGAACTTATATTGAAATCACCTGTGCTTTCTGTAACGGAGAAACACGACAGCATACAACTGAAGTACAGTTCAAGCTCAAGCTGAGCAGCATCACCCGCAAACTCGGGTCTAATGCATACATTAAACACTTTCCATCAATAACGAGAGACAATTTTGGTCCAGCTACGGTATGCAGAGAGTGTTGAGCTTCTTCAAGACTCTTTTTCAGCTCCTTCTTTACTTCTTCTTTGATAACACGAGCAATCTCAACTTGATCACCCTACAGTAAAAGCTTTTATTTTATTAAAAAGTAACTAGAATAATTGAATTTTATGAAATTGATACATTAGAAGAAAAAAGTTACAGTGAAACAATTACCCTTTCTTCAGCTTCCCTGATTACATCCGTTTCAGAACTAATTACAAATTGTTTCATTTCATTGTTGATCAAGTTGCATGCTGTATCATAACAGAATCAAAGAGTAGTTATTAAAGTGGGAGATAGAAGATATAAAGTCTCAGAGTAAAAGTTTGCGACATCCTACCATAGGCAATATTTATAGCCGTTTCCATTTTGTCTCCTGTTAACACCCAGATCTTAATTCCAGCTCTTGATAAGGTTTCTATACAGGTAGGCACCCCTTCCTGAAGTTTGTCTTCTATTGCAGTTGATCCAATGAGGATAAGATCCTTCTCAATAAGTTCTGCCACCTTCATGGATTAAGACACCTCACACTCATCAACTATACATTATCAGCACTATTTACTGGTGAGTGGTGACTCAAAAACTGTATTAGAGGATACAATCATTCAGACTACTCTAGAAAATAATAATATATCATTTTCATTCCTGTTATACAAACAAGTTTCACTGCTCCTGGAACCCATTTTCAACCTTCGGGATTTTCTTGAAAGTTTACTAAAGAGAATGTTGCCTGAAGCATTGAAAAGAAAATAGGTAAAAAATAGTAGTATACCTCATCTAACTTCTTCTCACGGTCCCGTAATGCAGATTTGGCTTGGATGAACTTTTCATTCCAACTATCATAGGTTTCAGGGTTTAAATCTTTATAGGCTAGGCAAAGGGTACGCAATCCAGAAGACCCAAATTGTTCCAAATGTTCTCTCGTTACTTTCCTAATATCGTCCGTACCATCAGCCAATCTCTCAAAGATTACATTATCAGCGCCCTGTGGGACAATATTCCAAGCAATGGTCAAAAATTGATCCAGAAGTACACAGAAAACCAAGTAAAATAGTAAATAAATAACTATTACCTTGCAGTAGAGTACAAGCCTTCCATCTGGGAAACGACATACAACAGACTGGCGCTTCCTAGTACTGTTGTCCATTGTGTAAAATATTATTAGTATGCTTAAAACAGGAGAAAGAGAGAAAAAACAAACAACCAAAACATTTTCATATAAACCTGTTGAACTCAAGAACATTAAGAATGTCATAGGCCACATCTTGAATCTTTCCCATCTTCTCCACATGAGACTCGCGAACATACACCATAGTGGGAGTACGCCTGAAAATACATAAAAGAAGTCTCAAACAAACTAACAGAGACTTGAGAAAAAAAACACTTATAGAAGAAAATCTAAGAGTTAAAACTAGGAATCGTGGAACAAGTTAGCTAATTTATCTTGTCCAGATTGATTGCCTGTAATTTCAAATCTTTGGAAATTGAAACACAATGAGGATTAACAATTACCTGTAAAAGAAGAATCCAAAATTCTTGGCAGCAGTAACTAAGGCAGCTTCATCTGGAGAAGCAGCTTGATAAACAATCTTCTCAGGGGACTCATCACCTTCAGGAAGGACAGTGTGACAGATGGCCAGGCATCTAAAAAGTTCCTGAAAATATAAAAATTGCAATATTTTCAGTTATGTGAGCCCAGAAATAGACACAGGAGCAATCCCTAACCCAAGATCAAGGATCTTGAAACTTCCATAATTTTAAGAGGCTTCTGTCATGAAAGTTCTGTAGATTTTTTAATATAAAGTTCCCAGAACAAAGGCCTCGCATTATATCCTTACAAGTTCAGATTGCACCAGCTTTAAAAAAAAAACGCAATTTCTCACGGAAACCCTATAACCCCATCACCTCTTAGCTATTACAATTCTTAAACTGATTGTGAGCCAAATCTCTAGAGAATGAAAGTAAGGCACCTTGCAAAGATCAGGATTAGGTTCGTTTCTCCAAGCTCCCCGCATTAGCCGTGGATCATCAAAATTAAATCCTTTTTCTCTTATTGCACCAGTTGACCTTTGCTCCTGAGAATATTTGTAACGGTGCAAATTAGACATTTTGCCATTGCACCATAAGGTACAGAACAACTTCACCATCAGAAAAGATATAATACCTCTTGAACTTTTAAGCCATGACGTTGAGCGATTCCTCTTTCTATTTCAGTGACACCACATCCATAACTTATACCTCCAATTGAACATTTGAAGAACTCCATCAAATTTCTCGTCAGCGTTCCGGTTTTATCAGAAAATATGTATTCCACCTGAATTATAGCACAGTAATTGCAAGTGAAGTGAGAACAATAGCAAAGCATATATTTAAAATAAATATTTAGCAACAAAAAGGATATCTATACCATAAAAGTAACTAATAGTAGTATGGTTTAGTGTTAGCTATATGCAGAGTGGAATGATAACTACCTGTCCAAGCTCCTCATTCAAATTGGAAGTCCTGGCTGAGGCGGGGGTATTTGTTTCAGCATGATACATATTAAGATCTCGGTTAATAAACTGGGTTGACTGGATAAA